AGTGTTTCCCAGACACTCCTGCACAGACAGCTACCTGTCCCTGTGCTCCTCAGTGTTTCCCAGACATTACTGCACAAGCTCCCTGTCCCCGTGCTGTCAGCTGTCTCAGACATTCCGCACAGACAGCTACCTGTCCCTGTGCTCCTCAGTGTTTCCCAGACACTCCTGCACAGACAGCTCCCTGTCCCCGTGCTCCTCAGTGTTTCCCAGACATTCCTGCACAGACAGCTCCCTGTCCCTGTGCTCCTCGGTGTTTCCCAGACATTCCTGCACAGACAGCTCCCTGTCCCTGTGCTCCTCGGTGTTTCCCAGACATTCCTGCACAGACAGCTCCCTGTCCCTGTGCTCCTCAGTGTTTCCCAGACATTCCTGCACAGACAGCTCCCTGTCCCTGTGCTCCTCAGTGTTTCCCAGAACACTGAAGTGCATTTGCAGCCCCCTGCTCCAATCTAATCAGCACATCTGTATTCTAAATTCCAGTCCCTCCCAGTCTACCTCTTCCTACTAAAGTTTACTTTTCAATAAACCAATTAATCACAAAATATACTATCAGGACTCAGAGAGAAACCAGTATCTCAGACTCCTGTTTCCAATCCAAACTGATCAGACAATGAGTATTCCAGTTTCTCTCGGCCAGAACTGAAACTGTTATTCTACAGAGTAACGTTTCATTGTTTGGACTTGCAACTTCATAGAGTAACTTTAATGCACACGTTTTTCCATTGTATTCTTAACACAGCTTAATTTCATGCTTTTCACTTCATCAATAAATAACAGGAAACCAATTATGAGAAAAATAATTCATACCTCACATTTTGAATTTACTGAGGTTTGAAAGAATTTACCAGGAAAATGTTGACTCTGAACTTTAAACTTGGTTTTACTTATATTCATTTATTTTTAAAAAATCAAAAGTCAGTACTGTGGTGTAATTCTAAACACCTGCAACAACACACAAAAATTGCTGAACCTGCACATTTACACCCACCAGTTCCTTCAGATCTATCAAATTGTCTATGGTTTGGTATTATGAGAAAGTTAGTAGGATCTCTCTAACCATGACAGTTTTTCAGGCAATGCTGGGAATTAGCAGTCAAGATTATACAATTCTTGCACTAGCTCCAACAAGGGGCCCAGAGATCGGGATCAATCATGAACTTTTTTGATCTCCCATTAACATAACTTATATTTGTCATTCAGAAATGGTCTATGACTAAACATCCCAAAACTTTTCACGATTCTCTAAGGCTGCTGAAAAAAACAAAATTACTTTAGAATCCAAGAAAAATTAAAGACTAAATCAGCATCCTTACTAAAATTTTTAAGAGAATCATTGTTTAAAGACATTAAAATATATACTTATGTAAAAGGACTAGACTGGAGGCAGAACCTGGGATTTGATGAGATGGCCGGGCGGGCCCACAAGATTATCAAGGAAACAGCGTTTGCTGGCAGAGCCAGTTCCCAGAATTTAAGCAGAACCAGATGAGAGCAACACCCGTTATTTTCACATGGTCATTGCTGGCCCCTTCAAAGGATTCCCCCTTTGAGGAAGGGACTTTTAAACTTGAACTATTTCTTCCATAAGAATACCCAAAGGCAGAACCTAAAGTACGTTTCACGACCAAAATTTACCATCCTAATGTAGACAACTTGGGAAAAATATGTTTACATATTTTGAAAGATAAGAGGTGCCCAGCACTGTAGATCCGCACAGCTCTGCTATCGATCAAGGCTTTGTTAAGAGCTCCCAATCCAGATGATACATCAGCAAATGATGTAGCAGAGCAGTGGAAGACCAATGAAGCCCAAGCTACAGAAACAGCTAGAGCACGGACTAGGCTATATGCCATGAATAATATTTAAGTCGATCTGATCACCAAGTGGGCATGATTTCTCCTGTTCTGCCGAGACTTCCTCCCTTTTTGTTTGCATTTAGTGGACACAGTCTCAGAAACGATACAGAATAAAAGCCCAACACCTTCAGTCCTTTGGTGATTACATGCACATTAGCAAATCTATGTCTTGTCCCGATTCACTGTTATAAAGCATCAGCAGAGACTACCATCTGGATTGTTGTGAAACATTGAAAAGCAGTGGTCCCTCTCTGCTTTATTCCTTTCTCCCATCAAGATTTAAGTACAAAGCACTGTGAATGAAGGTAGTTGTCAGGGTTAGCTACGGGGTGTGGGTGTTTATTTTATTTTTTGAGGGGGGAGGTAGTTTTAATTTTATGGGCTCCTTTCCCCCTTTTTATGTTAATTTTTAATTGCATTAAAAGCAGCTAATCAGTTCTTTGGCATATGCTCTCTGGCTGAGTCTAACTTTATTTAGACACTGTAGATGGACAAGCTTGTTTGAACCAAAATAGAAACATTAAATAAATATTGTGGTCCTCATTAACACCATTGTGACTTTGCTGTCAAATGCAGAATCCTCCCTTCAAGAAAAAGCTTGTGACTATTTTGTATAGCTTGTCTGGAAACTTCCATAAATCTGATGTTTTAGTAAAATATTTTTTGTTATAAAAAATGTACTTCTGTAAAAGATACTGATTTTCTTCTGCAAGATGTAGCCACTGGGGAAAACGGGGTGAAGAGTACATGAACTTCTCTGTACTATTTTTATTTTTTTAAAGATTTTATTTATTTTCCTTTAGAGGGGAAGAGAAGGAGAGAGGGAGAGAAATATCAATGTATGGTTGCCTCTCATGTGTCCCCTGCTGGGAACTGGCCTGCAACCCAGGCATGTGCCCTGACTGGGAATCGAACCACGATCCTTTGGTTTGCAGGCCTACGCTCAATCCACTCAGCTACGCCAGCCAGGGCCTATGTACTATTTTTACAACATCCTATAAAGCTAGTGATTTCAAAATTAAAAGTCTTAAAAAAAAAAGACTTACAAAAAAAAGAACCACTGATACAAATAGCAACATTAATAAATCTCAAAAACCTCATGTTAAGTTGAAGAAGCCAGATACAAAAAAAATGTATTATACAATTCCCTTTATAATAACATTCTAGAAAACAAAAGGCAATAGTAGTTGCCTGAGGCTGAGGGGCAGAAGTGAGGATTGACTATAATGGGAACAAAGAAACTTTTTCAAGTCCTGGATTGTGATGATAGTTGGCCAAATTTACTAAAACTATATATACACTTAAAAATTGGTAAGTGTTACTTACAGTATGAAAACTATACCTCAAAAAAGCTACAAAAAAATGGTTAACAGTAAAATCTAGGTGACAGATATATTTGGATGTTAATGTAAAATTCTTTTAACTCTGCTGTGTGCCTGATTATCATAATAAAATGTTGAGCAAAATTAAAGTTTTCATAAATCACAGAATTAGAAATCCAAAAAGCTGTATTTTCCATGGCAACTCACAGTTCAAGAAAGATTTCATAAAAAGTCAGTCAACAGCATCCATTCAGTTGATGTATGTACATATACCATGCTGAAGCCCTTGTTTGACAGTGTGTTGTGAATAAAGGGGCCCTGAGATTCCAATTCCCAATCAAAGCTGTCCTTTTGGACACTATTTCAAAAATCTCCTTTTAGGGCAGTTGGTTATTTATTCAGGCACAGACTGGAAACCCAAACACAAACATCCTACATGTCTTAATCACCACATGAAGAAAATCCAGATTTCAGCTTTCTGTAAATTATAGTGTTGGCAGTATCAAAGTAACCAAGAAACAAAACTTCATCAGTTTTTACATAAGAATCACAAATTTTCCACAAAAAATTCTCCATGAGGTTCTTTAAAAGAGAAATATTTAAATATGGTTATGTACATGTTAAGATCATCTTCCACATGCCTTTGATTAGAATCAAATCCACAAATACCTAAGTATTTTATCAGACAATCAGCAAGAAATATTGAACTGAAGTAGAAAAACAGACAACTGAAACTTTTTAATTATAAAGAATAATATATTTGTGGAGAGAGAATATCTTTGTATTTATTCATTTTCTAAGATTCCTATATTTATTACTATATTTATGCATATTCCAATTTCAAAGAGCAAAGTAGTCTTACTAGGCATTAAAAAATAAAGGTGCTTTCACAATATTCATTTTTATTTTTCTAATTGCCAAATTCTATACCAAAGGTGTACTCCTCTTTACAAACTTTCAAAGCTAGTATGTGCAATTTGGCATATTTATTAGAAACTACAAATATGTAAATAAAAATGTCAAAAATTATTAGAATTAAACTGAATGTTTCTAATTTGTCATTTCTCTAATTCCCTAGTACACATAATAAAAGAAGGAAACATTATACTTGCCACTGTACCTAGCAGGAGGAATATAAGTGATAAATGGGGACAGCCAGCGGGGACCTTTTCAAAACGGACTTATGTTAATATATATTTGGCCTTTTACATTTGTAAAATGAGGGTGAGGGAAGGGACGCCAAATGTTTTATCTATTGATGACCCTTAAGATTTACAATAATTAGTAAACTGTGAGTTCTGGAAGTGCTGACAAGTGAAATACAAGATACAGATTAGTCTGCTTCATCAACACTATGATTAAATAATCACATAAGAACTAAGTCAAATAAATCTTTATTTCTTGGGGGTAAAATGCCCAATAGTGCAATTGCTATGTTGTATTGTAAGTTTATGTTTAATTTTGTGAGAAATCCCACACACTTTTCTAATTTGGCCCGACCTTTTTACATTGCTACCAGCGGTGTATGAGTATTCTAGTTTTCCCTCCTGCTTGCCAGCATTTAATGTTACCACCGTTTTGTATTTTAGGCATTAAAATAGGTAGTGCTGATATTTTGTGCCTTTAATTTGCATTTCTGTAATGGCTATGGTACTGAACGTCAGGTGGAATGACACTGCCCCATGGGACAGCAACATTGTCAACAGTCAAGAAAAGTTGACAAAAGTATTTTGAAGAAATTATGTCATGCCATATAAACAATTATGTGACAATAAAAATAGTTGGACTGCTTAAAAAAAAAAGAACTAAGTCAAAAATTTACCTTTGTGCTGGCCACGCCAATCTCGGGCCCGGCATTAATGTGGACCCCACAGTCTGTCTCCCTTGATATGGAGCTGCCAACGGTGTTTGTGATGCCCACGGTCAACGCTCCTCTCTCCTTACAGTAGCGAAGGGCCATCAGGGTGTCTGCTGTCTCACCTGTAGATAAAGACAGACAATAGGAACACACACAGCAGTTAATATATGCTGTTTCTTAGATGTAAAAATGAAAAACTAACTACACTTTCAACAAAATCATGCACTTAAGAAAAATTAGCAAAACTTTAATAATAGGATCCTACTTTTTAGGATCTTCTTTCCTTGTCTTTGAAAATTCAGTTCTTTGGGTATAAAATGTGTTAATTTTACTAATTCACTAAGAATTACGTAATATCAAAATAAATCTCTATTTGTCAAGTCATCTGCAATACCATTTTACCTTTAAATATCAATTTTTGCCAAGATAATTATTAGAAAGAATGACTTCCCTTTTCTTCGAGTGTTTAAAATTAGCATACCTGACTGGCTAATAAAAAAGCAAACGTCGTCTCGAAAAACTGGTGTGTTTCTATCCAGGAAATCACTAGCTAGCTCCACCATAACAGGCAACTCAGTCAGCTCTTCAAGAACTTGACGTGTCTGTAAAGAAAAATTACTTGGTCAATCAAACAACTTTACTTCACATATTCTTTTTCATGGGCCTTCTTTAGACTCAACATATAGTTTTCACTTTTTCTGATTATAAAAATGAAATGAAACATGTGCAATATTAGAAATATAAACAATAAGATTAAGCATAAAAAATAAAAATAAAAATTCTGCCACCCAGAAGATAAGCACTGTTAAAATTCTGGTTCAACTGGGAGAGGGACTGGAGAGGGGGCAGGAGAGAGAAAGAGCGAGAAGAAACACACACTGATTGGTTGCCTTCTGGTGCTGCCCTGACCTAGAATCAAACCCAGTGACCTTTCAGTCCACAGGACAAGGCTCCACCCAACTGAGCCATACTGGCCAGAACCCAATTCCTAATCTTTAAAGTGACAATTCATATAATACCAAGTCACTGAGAGATTTCAAATAAGATGACAGATATATAAACACTCAGTGTAAAATTAAACACTTCAAAAATACTATGTATTTGTAAATAATACCATTCTGAAAAAAGTCAATACACTTTAGAAAATTTGTTTTAAAAAGCTCACTACTTCCAAATGTTATAGTATGGAAGGTAAAGTAGGAGGCAATATGCTTCTGGTCAAAGACCGCCTTAACATTCATTTTACTAAATTTCTATTTGAGTTAAATTCCTTTTAGTCTAAATGTCAGAAAACTAAAAAAAAAAAAAAAGAAAAACCAGAAAAATAAACTTTCAGGCAGCAAAAACTTTAGGCCTTTCAGTTGCATACATTTAGCTGTTTAATAATAACTGTATAGACCACCTGCTTCTCTAGGCAAGTGACCCACTTATCTTTTGCCGCATCTCTGCATTATCCCACCTACAGAGCAATGAAGAACTGTCAAGTTTTCCTTGTTCATATCCCTCTGACTTTCTGGCCACAAATGTCAACTGAACCATTTTGTTTTATCTATCGCTTTGGTCTGGCATTTTTTAAAAAATGTTATAAATCATGTAATAGAAAATTTTCAATAAAAATATTCCTATTTTTAACTAACCCTTTCCACTGATACATTTATGAATTTTACATAAATAAATTACTGACACTAAGGTGCTAAATATTATCCCTCAGACATAAATCAAACTTTCCTGCCCCAGTTTACAATATAAATGTTACACTGGAATTATATCCTTCAAAATTAAAAGAGAAAGATACAAATCTGGCAACTTACCAGATATTTAAAAATAATATACCTCAAAGAGTAATCTCAAGATATATCTATGCTAATGAATGGCTTGTTCTTTCAGTGAAGGGAACTCTTTAGAAATAGATAGAATGACATATTTCATCATAAGAGACTAATTGGGTCCACGTTCTTTGGGACTCTGAGCTTCCTGGACTTGCATGTCTATTTGTTCCTTTTGCCAGATTGGGGAAGTTCTTCTTTATTTTGTCAAATAAGTTTTCAATTTCTTACTCTTCCTCTTCTCCTTCTGGCATTCCTATGATTCAGATGTTAGGACGTTTAAAGTTGCCCTGGAGATTCCCCTAAGCCTCTTTTTTTTTTTTTTTTTTTGAATTCTTGTTTCTTCATTCTGTTCTGACTGAATGTTTCTTTCTTCCTTCTGTTCCAAATCATTGATTTGAGTAGCAGTTTCCTTCCCTTCACTGTTGGTTCCCTATAGATTTTACTTTATTTCACTTTGTATAGCCTTCACTTCTTCCTTTGTTTTACAACCATACTCAACCATTTCTGTGAGCATCCTGATTACCAGTGTTTTGAACTCTGCATCTGATTGGTTGGCTAATCCTCATTGCTTAGTTCTTTTTCTGGAATTTTGATCTGTTTTTTCATTTGGGCCATATTTCTTTGTCTTGACACACCTGATATAAGTGGTGGAGCCATAGGTATTTGCCAGGTGGGGCAACCCTAGTGGCTGTGTTGTGGCACTGTATGTGTGGGAGAGGTCAGAGAGGGATTAATTCTGCTTGCTTGGCACTCACACCACTGTCTGTCACTTTTCCTACTACCCGCAAGTGAGTTGCACCTTTATCGTGCTGATTCCCAGGTGGGTAGTTTTGTGTACATTCTAGGATCCTGTAGGCCCCTCTAATAGCCTCTCCTGTGAAACTGGGAGTTTTTCCTGCCACCACAACTGCCACAGATTTTTACAGCCAGAGGTCTTTGAGGTTTTCTCACTCTGGAACCCTGGGTTATGCAATCTATCACACTTCCCAGTTGTTCCTCCTGGTTTATCTGCATGCAAATGTGGGACTACCCTGTCCACCCACTGCCACCTCACCCTCCTGGTCTGCCAGCCGCCACCTTGCCATGCAGCCTCTCCGCCTCGCTGCCCATCTCCACCCCTCCTACCAGTCTGGATGAATGTTTCTTCTTTAACTCTTTAGTTGTTGGACTTCCATACAGTTTGATTTTCTGGCAGTTCTGGTTGATTTTTGTTTTTAAATTGGTTGTTATCATTCTTTTGGTTGTGCAAGGAAGCAAAGCATATCTACCTATGCATCCATCTTGGCTAGAAGCTCCTAAAGCAGATCTTCCATTAATAAATAATTCTAAGCATCTATTAAAGTTTCTCCCCTTTACCTTCTTAATTTTTGTCATGCAACATGAAAAGATAACATGATGTTTTAACAAAAGATAGTTTTACCTGGTATGCTACTGGAGGTACTACTTATCTGTAGATATTGTCAAATACTCAACATAACACAATTAAGATCTGAAGAAGCCACTTACTGCTACACCAGCATGGTAACTTGTTCCACAAGCAATGAGAATCAGACGCCGGCAGCGCTGGATCTCTTTAATGTGATCCTTCAAACCTCCCAAATTCACTGAAATCAAAGTTCATGTATATAATTATTTAGGAAAGACCCACATGAAATAAGCAATCACTTTTTATAAGTATCCACTACCAATCTGAGAAGCAACAGAATTTTAAAGAATTCATATTCCTCTTAGGAACACAGTTATCTATAGTTTGTTCATTTGCTTTTTTTCTTAGTTCTCTATAGTGTAGAAAAATAAATACAATACAACTTAACCTGTGCCCCCAGACTTGTATCTAACCTTACTCACCCCCTTCCACATGCCCATACAATTACAGTATTTACCATTCTTTAACTTGTTTGGTCACTTTTACATTCCTTTCTTTAAAATAAAAGTTATCTTACAGGCAAAACTACAGGGACACAGACAACCACCAGTGGATGCTGATGTCTCCAGGTGGGAAGGGACTGACTACAAAAGGCATTAGGGCATGAAGACCATATTGTGGAAGTTTGCTGAATATCACTGATTATACATTAAGAACAGTCAATTTTATTTTATCTAATTATATCTCAATAAGCCTAGGAAAAAATTGTCTTCATTATGTTTATTTGCCCTATGGTGCCCAAAACAGTGCTCTGAACATAACGTAAACCCACCCTACTCTCCGTGTCTCCTATCTCGTTCATCCAACATGAGAGCCACCCTTGTTGCTCCTAACCTTGCTCCACATCCACTCCCCAAGCAAGTCCTGGGAGCTCCACCTTCCAACAGCACCTCTCATACCACCACCCCAGTCCAACATCGCTCCTCTGGATAACACATTCCAGCTGTTCTCTATTCTGTTTCCCACCCCTACAGCCTGTTCTCCACACACAGCCAAAGTGATCTTTTAGAGCAGGGGTGTCAAACTCATTTTCACTGGGGGCCACATCAACCTCAAGGTTGCCTTCGAAGAGCCAAAATAATTTTAGGACTATATAAATGTCACTTCTCCTTAACTGTTAAGGAGTTGAAATTACATTCAGCCCTTTGAAGGCAACGGTGAGGCTGATGTGGACCCCCGTGAAAATGAGTTTGACAGCAGTTTTACAGTGATTCTTTAAAAATCATGGAGGGTTAGCAACAGGGGAGTGGGAGGAGAAGGGGGAGAAGGTACAGAAAATAAGTAGCATAGATGGTAGGTAGAAAATAGATGGGGGGGGCAAGAATAGTATGGGAAATATAGAATCTAAAGAACTGGAGACACATGGTCATAAACTAAAGGGGGGAATGGTGGGGGTGGGGGGTGCAGGGTGGAGGAGAATGAAGGGGGGGAATAGAACAACTGTAATGGCATAATCAATAAAATAAAAATTTTAAAAAAACATAAATCTGATCTGCAAACCCTCCTGCCGAGTCTGTCCTCCTCCTTATTCTGTCTCTATAGCTATGTGCGTTTTCTTCTAAGAGTACCTTGTCTATGAACCCTTCTACACAGGCTAGTTTTCTACCTGTGAGAAAATGTCATTCAAAATTCATTCAGTCATTGAATTACTATTTATTGAGCACCCACCAAGTGACTGTCTAATGCACTGTGCAGCGGCCAGATGCGCACACCCGGGCGGCATCCTCCTGCATCCGACCCGCCATCAGTCTGCCTATTTCGTCCTTGCTCTTCATCTCCCCACCCTTTTTTCTACCAGGGTATATGTTTTTGCTTTTTATACTTTTGAGTAATTTTATGTTCTTCCTTTTATATGCATTTCTTAATTTTAAAATATTAGTAAAGTAATATAAAACAACAACAAAAAACTTCCCTAGCTGCCCAAATAACTTACAACACGATCCAAACCCGTTACGGTGGTTTCAAGCCTCCAAATGCCCATCTCCTGCTTAACTCTCACCTAATCTCCCAGCACCTGCCCTCTTACCCAGGCTACACCAGCCAGACTGGCCTTCTGGCTGGCACCGAACCAAGCCTGTTCATGAACATCCGCCTAGTGTTCTTCCGCAGACCTCAGAATGTATTTAAAAGGTTTGGGGAGAAAGGAAACAACAGTAAGAAGTTGGGTCAGGGTTGTGCAAAGGCAAATCAGTTTGAAGATGACACACTGTAAAAGCAGGCAGACTGTCAGAGTCTTGTGTATCAGATGATGATCAAGAATGACAGAGAGGTAAAGTGGTGAGATCAAGTCGTCATAAGTGTTTCCCCAAATTCCCTGGGCCTGAGGAATGTTTCAAGTAGTTCTGAAGGAGTTGCCAAAGGTCAGAATGGATGATGCTCTGGAGAGAGGTCTAAGTGCGGGAAGGTAGGCCCCAACTACTGGAAGCAGCTAGAATGCCTGGGGGACGGGGCGGGGCTGGAGCACACTGGGGAACACTAGTGAACCCAGGAGGCTGGTCTGGTTCCATAAAGGACTGGTGATATGACCTTTGGCAAGGTCAAATTGACAGAGACTCTATTTCCTTATCTTAACAACAACAATGGGGAAAAAAACAGCTGTCCTGTTTACATCATAGAAATTTTATGAGAAATATGCTACTGATACAAATGATTTTAAAATCATGACTTCTCACAGTTTGTCTCGTTCTCTTCCCTTATGAAACAAATCTTTTTCTTGATCTTACTCCCATAAAGACTATAAAAACTCTCCCATTTCTTCCGGCTCAACCATCTTAAACAACGCCCTCTCCCCACACGGGCAGATGCAGGTCCTGGTTTTGACTGCTCCTGTCTCTCTCCTGGCCCCCACTTGCCTCCCCTTGTCCTTCCCCATCACTTCACCCCAGGCAGGATAAGATCCTAACTGGCAACTGCATCTCAGCCACTTGCTCCCCCAGCGCACACTCAAGACTGGTACCCAGTTTACTTCAGAAAAACTATGTTCACCCCAGGCTCCTACGTCTCTCCTTAGTCTCCTAAAAGCTCTTCAATTTCTATGAAAGGAGGTACCCCCCACACATACCCCCACACCAAGTTAGAATGCATCCCGGGCCCTCCTTTGCAGCCCCTTTCACTTTCTTTCCCAGACTGACTTACTGTTCTTTACTCCTTTTCAAGCACTAGGTAGGGTAGACAAACGAGGCTACATATTATTCCACAAAGAGCTGAGAGTTTCCACTAAACCCCCTTAGCTAATACTGTTCTAACCCATTTCAGTGGCTCCATCACATCTTCACCTATTCCAATTTTCCAAATCTCTTAAGCTGACACCTGCCTACTTCATGAAGCCCTTTCTGGCCCCAAAGCCCCTGCCTACAAACAGATTCACTGTCTACTTTCTCTAAATTCGACATTAATCTTTATTTTTTTTTAACTTTTCTTTATTGTCGTTCAAGTATAGCTGTCTCCATTTTCTCCCCCACACTCTCCCCCACTGGAGCCACCCCCACTTCCCACACTTGATCCTACCCTCCTTTGGTTTTGTCCATGTGTCCTTTATACAAGTTCCTAAAAACCTTCCCCCCTGTTCCCCCATTATCCCCTCCCACCTCCGCTCTGGTTACTGTCAGTTTCTTCTTAATTTCAGTGTCTCTGGTTATATTTCAATTGTTTGTTTGTTTTGTTGATTAGGTTCTACTTATAGGTGAGATCATATGGTATTTGTCTTTTACTGCCTGGCTTATTTCACTTAGTATACAGTATGGAATTTCCTCAGAAAACTAAAAATGGAACTGACTTTTGACCCAGCAATTCCACTGCTAGGATTATATCCTAAGAACCCTGAAACTCCAATTCAAAAGAACCTATGTATCCCAATGTTCATAGCAGCACAATTTACAATAGCCAAGTGCTGGAAGCAACCTAAATGCCCATCAGGAAATGAATGGATCAAAAAACTGTGGTACATTTACACAATGAAATTCTACACAGCAGAAAGAAAGAGGGAGCTCCTACCCTCTGTAACAGCATGGATGGAACTGGAGAGCATTATGCTAAGTGAAATAAATTCAACATTAATCTTTAAATATATCAACATTGAATTGTTTCTAATGCCATTTATCACATTTTACCTTTCCTTTAAATAATTATATATTCATCTCTCTTCTGGATTATAAGAATCTCATGGAGAAGACTATATCAAAGATAACTCTGTATAGTCCCTAGTATGTTTAGCATGGTGCTCTGCACACAAATGTTCAATTCATAATTCAGCCTTTAACAAATCTCTCCTGCTGAGAAAGAATCTGATACTGCTCAGAACAGAAAAAGACATAAAGACAGCCTTTATTCATAGAAATCATTCCCTAGCAATTAACAGGACTGGATATGAAGGAAACACTATTGTACACATGACACACAAATTCAGAAAAAAGATCTTTGCATGCGGGCTCTCATTTTTCAAAAACTAATTTCCTAATACTGAGAAGCTTAGTCCAAAGCTTGTTTGTTAAACATGTCACGATGAGTAAGCAGTGTTCCAAAAACCTAACTTAGCAATAAACAGCTTATGGACATCTTATGACCACAGACTACTTTTAACTCATCTCAGTAAGGTGCCAAAGTCCTGCAGCACAAGACCTGGAGAGAATTTCCAGAAATAAGAGCAGGGCTGCACTTTCACGCCTATTTGAAAAAGGCAAGAAAGTACAGATTTTCCTATAAGGCATCAGACAAACACCTGGAAAAACCTTCTGGGGAAGTTCGGACCTTTACTCATTTATGAATTAAGAGAGAAACCCAGGCTAAGAAGATACACATAAGTCTGCTGGCATGGGGACCAATCTCATTATTAGAATTCTCAGTGGCCAGGACTGCCCCCGGTATACAGCAGATACCCAACAAAGGTTTGTTGAATTGAAAGAAAATAAAATGTTTTTAACAGTTTTTAGCCCCAAGAAAATCACTCTAATGCCTCCATAATGGACAGTAATTTCCAAGGTGACTTTCTAGCCAGTTTTTAATATTTTTATAACCATTTTATTGAGATATGTCATATGCCATAAAATTCACCCTTCTGAGGTACACAGTGGTTTTCAGTATATTCAGAGGTGTGAAGCCATCATCACTATCTAATTTTCATCATCACCCCCCCAAAAAAACCCAAATTCATTAGTAGTCACTCTTCATTTCCTCTTTCCTCAGCTTCCTGGCAACAATTTTTTCTTAATCATGATAACACATAAATGTTGGGAACTGTCCTGCCTGATTTCAGAAGCTATAATCTCACCAATAGGCGAAAAAGCCCCGCGGCTAGGGAACCTTGGAACCATAAGCCACTAAGGAGACAAAACTTATCCTCCTGGCAGGGGCACAGCCTCTGCCCCCTTTACTTCACCCTGCTCGGCCCCTGGAGGATGGCTGGTTAGTCAATGATGGATAAGATTCCTCAAGAAAGGAACAACCTAAGATGGGCACAGTCTCAAAGTGGCCCTCAGGGAAGGATTTAAGGGATTATGGAGGAGGGACAAAAGACCCTCACCCCTTGGCTTTGCCACAGCCTGAGTCTTCATTCTATCTGTAAGAAGTCTCCTAGTCTCTTGGCTGTTTTGTTTCCCCTGCCTGACTCAAGCCAGAAAACTTGCTGGAGGGTGGTACAGTCCTGTGCCAGAATGGGTGGTTCCTGGGGGACAGTCAGGCCTGAGAAAGAATGCATTAAATCCTGTGAAACCTGCTTTAAGAATGCCTTCGATTTGAAATGTTAAGGGTCCAAACACAAATGAGTTTTTTCCCAGGTACTATGGCCCATTGGCATCACCCTGTCTACCAGACTCTGACTCAAAAGGACCCCTGGGATCCTACGAATGTTATCTGTTAATCTTATCTCTTCTCTTTGATCACTACTGTCTGACATTGATTGATGAGCCTTACATGTAGGCTATATATATCTATGCAAACTAAACTCTATAAAAGCCCATTGAGAAAGAGGCTCTAGGCCTTTCTCCTCTGAGAGATTGGCCAGCCCTTTCTCCCCAAGCAGATCATGTCTTGGTAAATTTATTCTCATCCACGGTGGCTGGGAGAGCTTTGCTGGCCAGAGTTCACCCACAAATAAGTAACATAAAACTTACCATTTTAGCTATTTTCAAGCGTACAATTCAATGGCATTATGCATAGTCACACTGTTGAGCAACCATCACCACCATCCATCTCCAGAACTTTTTCATTACCCCAGACTGAAACTTTGTACTCCCCCTTCCTCCTCTCTCCCTAGTGCCTGGTAACCCCTGCTCTACCTTCTGTCTCTAAGAATATGACTGTTCTAGGTATACCTCGTATCAGTGGAATAATACACTGAAGGACTTTTAAAAGATGACTGGCAACTGTATATTCTATAAGGCTATAGAGGTCAATGAACTTCCAGGCTGTCAATGCCAATACCCACAGGAGACTTTGAACCAATAAAATAACTCATAGTAATTACCAGTATAGTCATCAAAGTTGACTCTTCCTCTCATTGTGTTCACAACGGACTCTGGCTGCTCGAAAATTTCCTTCTGCATAAATGAACTGAAATTGCCTAAAGGAATACAAAGTATATCAGTAAAACAAAAATTCACACGCCAAAGAATAACAAATTTGTACAATGCTTCAAGTCTATCTCCGTGAAATGAAACAAAGGTCATGCAATAGAGGACAATGTTCACATATGACATTTTACCCTATGTGAAGAAAAATGAGTAGAAAGGAAAAATCACATAAAATATGCAGTTACAGAAAAACAATGGAGCTGGACAAACTCAAGTTTTGAAATCAGAACTAGGTTCAAATCAATGTTCTATCCTTACTAACTAAATGGCTCTGGAGAAACAGCCTAATGTATAAAATAGTAACGGCAGCCACCTCTCGGCATTGTACTGTGGACGTGTGTGGTACAGATCTGATGTACAGTAGTTACACGGTTAGTTAGTTTTATTCCTAGCACAACTCTGCCAGAAAAGAGAATGAAACCGTAATTATAATAACTGCAATAGATAAGAGCGATAAACACTACATAGAGCTCACTGGGTGTCAGGCACACTTCTAAGGGCTTTACATATATTAGCTCTCTTAATTCTCACTGTAATGAGGTACATCTTATTATTCCTATTTTACATATGGGTAAACTGAAGCACAGAGAGAATAAGAAAGGAACAAAGAACAGAACACAAACTATGTTTATAAAGTATCTTTAAAAAAATCAAGTACTATTTAAATAATGAATCTCTCTTTAGAGTTAGACAGGGATTTAGAGGAACAAGTATAAAGGACACAGGGACAACAGCTAAGGGGGGTGGAAATGGGAGGGAGGTGCGGAGCACGGGGCGGGGTGGGCTGGGATGGGAGTAAAAGACAGAAAACCGTACTTGAAAAATAATAAAATAAAATAAATAAATAAAAATAAAGTTAGAAAACAAACCCATTAGTTTGCAAAGCTATGGTAAAACTAGCAGATAATTTCTTCAATGACTTATCCCTTTCCCTGGGATTACCCTTCACCAATCACTGGGAAGATTTCACTCAGCACTGTGTTACCAGACTCCTGCACTAAGACAGAAGTAGAATGTACCCTTTCCAGTAAGGACACCCAGCTATAACGTAACAAAAACTTTCACCCTTCATGATCTGCTGGAGTTCCATCTGCAGTGTCTGCACAGCTCTTCCAGGGTGATCGCCTGCAGTTCGTTTAATTCGATGGATAGAAAGACGGCCATCCACCACTGCTGCTACATCATCGTCCTCAAGAAAGATGACGCGATTGGTGTGTTCTATCACAGCACTATAAAACGTTGAAGGAAAGATTACAATCAATAATCAAAGATGATTATTACAAATACAACTACCATTAGGACACAGAAACCAAATTTAAATACAAACTCTATCATCCTACAGCATCTCTGATAGCTTTCTGGTTATCAATGCCACTGGGAGTTCAGGTGAAGGATGGTCACTGTGGGCAATGAACAAAAGGATCTCCATGCAGCAACCTAAACCACATTAGATCTGAAAGAAAGCATGTTTGCCTCTTCCTCATTCTGTCTCCAAGTACTTCAATTTTAACTTCTAAACATTTCTTCAGTGTCCACCCTCACTAACCAGTTAAAGCTATCATCAGCTTTTTGCTAAACTACCACAGAAACCTCCCAACTTGCCCACCCACATTCCCTCTAATCTCCCTCCATTCATCCTCCATTTCTGCCAAAATGTATGTATCAAAAAGCAACTCTAATTAGGTTATCTCCTCACCCAGGAACCCATGTGAAGGCTTCCCTTTGGCTCTTAGAAAAACAACCAAACACACGACCATTACCCCCACCTCCTCCTCTAGCCTCATCTCCCACTAAGCTTCCTGTCTTTATTCCAGCCACATTCCCACCCATCCCAAACTCTCACAGGCTGATCAATCTGCAGAGAATCAATGTTCTTTCCTTAACCTCTTCACCTAATTAACTCCCAATATCTCCTGAACTCTCATTTCAATCATCATTCTCTTAAAGAAATTTATCCACAGAAGGGTAAGTCATGGCTTCATAATCATTCTGTAGCTCTTGTCACAGCTGAAATTCTACATTTGCATGACTATTGATTAAAATTTGTCTCCTCCATTAAGAAAGATGTCTTTAATGACATGAAATTTTCTTTTTACTCACCGTTAGCTCCTAAGCCCAGCACATGCTTTGCTAGTGTTCAATATAAAAATGTGTGAGTGAGTGAAAAATAGCTAAGATGTTTCTGCAGTTTCCAGTTTATTTAAGCCATAACTGTCAACTCTGTAACAACCCTACTTAGTGACAGCAATGCCACATCTTAGCAGTAACTACACACCTGTGAAAATCAGAACACACTGAAGCTTGTTTCCCACTGAGATAATACATTTCCTGCAGTCCTGAACTGCATCATTTTCCCCCTTTCAGATCCCCTCGCTAACAGGCACACTGAATGACTCAAATACTTGTTAGCAATGTGAATGATTCCATTTTATCCCCATTATTATTAGTACTTCATTTATAAATGCATCTAAGCATCCCACTGCATTTTCTCTCAAAACCTGTCAGTCTAGTACTATTTTCTTTGTAAAAGTGATTATGCTGCCAATTACTTCTGAATTGAGAAAATCAGTGTCTACAACATTATTTGAAAAGTACAATGGTTTAGCAACTATATTAATTGGTGGGATACTAAACTATATATAGCTGATGGGATACTAAACTATTCAAATCTCCAAACTAAAATTTCTCCTCCCTCTAAAACGTGGATAAGGCTCTTAAAAGGAGAGGGGAAAAAAATGCAAGAGCTCAGAGTAAATACACTATAACAACTCTCAACTACACTATCTGTTCTTTGTAAACTGGCCTATAAGCTCTGAATTGACAGAAAAGGTGTTCTTAGAACCCCATCTCCAGAAAAAGGACACCTTCACTTCCTTAATGAACAAAGTTCTCCTATAGAGTAGTACCAGAATTACACAAAATGACTTCTTGGTTTCCTGTAGCCTGACAAATTTTACTAAAAATTTTCTTTGAATCAACTAAGGAAGCTCACCTTGCGTCAGAAGCAAAGTAATACTCCACCGCTTTCTCTTCAACAGGGAAAAGGCAAGTTGTGCTGTCCACACGAGAGAGATTGCAGCTTCCTTTCTTATCTTTGCCTTGAGCATAGAGTTTCCAGAGCAGGCAAACACGGAGAAAACCATGGCCATTATATAAATATACATAATTTTATACAAAATCAAAAAATACCATAGCAACACAAAATAATTTCAGCAACCTTTAAATGCTAAAAAAAATGTAGATCACCTGATTTCCATGCAATAAGCCAACAAGAACAACAGACAAAAAGTGTGGAGTCAAATAGCAACTCTGAAAGGGAGCATGGCAGACAACGGTGCTACATTATAAATATATTTAGTACAATATTGTTTCCAGGTAAAAGGCAAATTAATTAACATCGCTCTTTTTAAATAAAATTTACATGTAATCTAATCTGAATGAAATTAATACATATAAGTTTGTATACCTAAACTCATTATAAAGTTACATTTAAAATATCAAATTGTATACTGAAAAATAAAATGAAGCTAGTAAATAGTAATTTTTGCCATCTCATAACAAAGTTTCTCTAGATTTTAATAGTAAATCAGCAAAACAAATCAAGATGTAGTCTCCACTAACTGTAATTTTTTCCCCTTTTTATTCAATTTATTGGGGTGAAACTTGTTAACAAAATTATACAGGTTTCAGGTGCACAATTGTGCAACACCACATCTGTACACTGTGTTGTGTGTTCACCACCCCAAGCCACTGATTGTGTTTTAAAAGCAAAACAAAGATACTTATAACTCTCTACCATGATATATCATATATGGTACCAACTAATACAGAATGAAAATATTATAATATAAACCCAGAATCTCTTCTTTCTTAAAGTTGAGCTTCCTAACATTTCTTTTAAGTTCATACAAAGTTTGGTCCTGTTGCAATAATAATATCTTTTTAATTCTACCACTTAGAATTCTGGCATTTCTACTTAATTTATCAAGTCATTGATAAAGATACGTTTTTCCTTTTCATTCATAATTAAAATCAAACCTGGAAAGCAAACTATTAAAAAAACTGGAACACACACTGAAATTTGACAGATTAGCCAATTTTTTTAACTCTATTAATTGAAGACCTTATTATAAATGCCACAGAAACAAAAGAGCACCTTCTCCAAGATCAGGTCACAGTGGGCCCTGTAACTTATGAACATAATGGCCAGAGAATATCATAAATATACTCGTGAAAACTTACATTGTGTTAATCCTCTAAAATACATATCTATAAAGACTTGGAAATAATTATTCTTAGAAACATACACCCAAATTACTTGGTGTGGTTTCACCATAAAAACAAAATGGCTCTTCCAAATTCAATGGCAGAAAAAATACCACACTTAAAAAAAATAAATATTAGGTAACATCCTAGAAAGGACAACACTTTAGAAAGAACAGATCAGTGTTTGCCAGGGGCTGAGAATGGGGACAAGGGCTGACTACAAAGTGGCAGCTGGAAGAAACTTTTCAGGGATGGAATTTTTCTGTACCTTGACTGTGGTAGTGGTTACACAACTGTCTGCATCTGACAAAACTCAGGAGATTTTACATGAAAAAGAGGGAACTTTACTGTATGTAAAAAGTGAATAAAAAATAGGTAAAAAATAGCCCACCATCTACATTTTTCAAATAAATACAACCAGCTTTGGTAATAAATTACACTAATGGGGTCAAGTTTCAGTATATTCTTTCTCCAAATATTATTTCATTCTTCAAGAAACAAGGTACAGTTAATCACAATATTTAGAAAAGCTGAGGTATCGTTGCCAATTTAAATGAAAAGAACAGTATTACTTGACATTTATATGACTCTTAAAAGCTATAAAATGTCTATTATCTCATCTGATTTAAGTGGAATATAATTATTATTATGCCACTTTATTTGGTCACCTGGAAAAAACAGTAAAAGCCTGAAGGGCAGCTCAAGGTTCTCCCATTTATGCAACCTCTTCAATAACAGGTCAGATTCAAATTCAACTCTGTTGAGCTGCACACTGTCTACCTACTAGGAACTAATGAGAGCTACTAAAACATAAACCCTGATCTCAGAAAGATCTGTCTAGTGAAAAAGTTTTCCTCCAACTTCATAAGACCTTAGCCAATGTTTTTTATAGTTTCTAAAAACAAAAAAATAAATAAAAGTAGCTTAACACAATGTACAAGGTAACATATACATAATGTATACACAGCATAATTATTAACAGAAATCTGAAACTCTGGATCCAAAATCTCTACTGTCACTAGTTGCCTCGTTTTACTTCTGAAAAGGGAGGGAGAAAGATAAGGAAGATAAGAAATTGCAATACCTCAGAACTAAAGGTTATTTAAGGAAATAAGTTTCTGATACAGATAAAATAGTGAAAGCAGTCACTATCCAAGGATGAATAGGTTTAGAGTACTTTGCTAAATATTTTTCAAGAAATGAAGAATTATACATTAAAAATATGGGTTCCAATTTCCTGAATTTACTTCTAGTAACTAGTAAATGGAAAGAGTACATCTTTTGTCTAATTACATCAATAAAATGATCCAGAGTTTGTATAGATGAAAGTCCTATAAAAAATTCAATCATAAATTTAAAAAAGGATAATGCCAAGTACAAAGCCAATCAAGATATTGAATGTAAATCTAAAAAGTAAAATGTCATGCATAAATAAAAACCATTAAAGCCAACTATGTCAGTTAAAAATTAGGCTGAATTATTCAAACTACCACTGAGTCCAATCTATAACAGCCTAGCAGACGATGCTCTTTTCTTCATGTTGAATCTTATTTATGGTTCATAAATCATGTACCCTACATGATTTCAATTTAAAACAAAAGAAAAAAACTATTTTTCAAATCTCAGAGACTACAGAGAAACAAATTACTGAAAGCAGTTTTCTAAATGCCAAAAACAGACACACAAAATATGCTTTGCATATTAGAAAAATATCAAAATGTTTTCCCATAAAATAAGCACAATTTTAGAGGCCCAGAACATTCATTCACTCCAAGAACAAAGAATTAGTAAAGAATGAGCAAAAGAGGGTAAGATTCCTCCCCATCCATGCGGAGTGCATTTCCCACCTCTTTCTCCCTGTGATCCCCACCGTGTGAATTTTGATCCAATCTGAGTCCTAGCTATGGATATACAACAGAAAAAAAAATTCTGCTTGTCAGAGAAATCACAAAACAAATCCTTTTCATGTCTAGACAGAACTATACATGAGTAGACCTGACCAAAGAGGCATTTATTTCAATTTAAGGAAAACAATTTTTTATATCTACTACATTCAATTTATACATTATTCCCATGGCATGATATAGGAATAGTTTTTACCTGTTCTGTAAAGTATTGGAATGTGATCAGTAGAGAGTTTATGTTCACTTCGTACACCAATCAACAGAGGGCTACCGCGTCTGTTAGTACAAAATTAAACAGAATTAAAACCATTTTTATAAATAACATATTAATGATATAAAATTTAAATGTGATGACAGAACACTCTTCAAATAAAATTTCAATTCTCTCTCCAAGGTCAATTTCAGATATAACAAAAGAACAATATAAACAGAACTTTAAAAAAATATTCAACAACAGAAGTAGGCAAACTATGACCCACATGGCAAGTCTGTCTACTTTTACTGGGACACAGACAAGCCCGTTCCTTTATGTAGTTTCCACGGTGGTTATCACACTGCAAGAGCAGTGTCATTGCAACAGAGGCCTTTTTAATGAAGGGTCATTTATACTGTGTAGAAAATAAACTTACAATTGAAAATTTTCAAAATACGTATAATTATTAGGCATTATTAAATTTATATATACCTTGTGCCAACAGCTTGGCCAGGAAAATGAACACTTTTAAATACAAGTGCAAAAGCACCTTCCTACAAAGGGAAAAAATGGATTAGCAACACATATGATAATTAATTATCAAATGTGAAATGTCTAAAACATACTGGCTTTACAACAGAAATTTTTTTTTTTACACAAATGCTCTTTTGCACTAGTTTATCAACTAGTCTAAACATGAGGCTCTGGCCAGATAGCTGTTAGTCACAGCGTTGCCCCAATATGCCAGGGTTGCAGGTTCAATCCCCAGTCAGGACAGATACAAGAGTCAATCAATGAATGCATAAATGAGTAGAACAATAAATCAATGTTTCTTTCTCCCTCTCTCAAATCAAATATTTTTTAATTTTAATTTTAGGACGACACTTCCTCATGAGCTTTGGCATATCCAAGACCCACTTTTTTACCAAGCTTATTCTTGAAATAGGCTCAACAGATAACAGTGCCAAAAGAGACCCTTTTAAAAGTCATCTTTGTACATACTACCAACACTTCTCAATAAATAAATACACCCTATCTCCCATACTACACATTAGTAAAGAAAGGAAAGAACCAGGAAAAGTCCCAGGTTCAATATCCAAAATCCATTCTCTGGCCAGTCATTTTATACCACTGTTAACTTAAACTCTTCAACCTTGATACTGGAAATAAATATACACAACCAAATTATTAATATGCACATCATACCAGCCCTCTACCCAACCTCCTCAGGGACAAGCTCTAAAGAAATCAAGAATGAATAAAGAAGGATCATGAGGTAGGAGAGGGAAGGAATCACCACTTTTCTCTTGGGCTGGGAAATAATTTTCTGTAGAAGCACAGAGCCAAGTAAAAGTCCCCATAAGGAAAAATAAGGAGTGAACCATACTGACTCAGAAACATGCAGACATTATCCTAAAAGCTAACCTTGCTAAGTTATTGACTGGGAAGAAGAATGGAGTGAGCAGGAAGCAAGAAAGTGATGAATCCCCAAGTGTGTATATTGCATGTATGTTTTATGTGGTATGCATGGGTCTGTGTGTGTGCATGCACAGTTTTTTGACAAACTGTTTAATCTTAGATTACTTTTAATTTCCATGATACTAAGCTACAGTGAAAGAAGAATTTTAAGTGTGTGTGGGAAGGGAGGGGTCATCAGTCAAACAACAATCTCTCAAAATTATTCGAATTGAAAAGTTATATATGGGAAATAAAAGCCAAAATATTTTTAAATTAGCATAGTTCCTGCTCCTCAAACTTGATTTTAAGGATTTATTGTGATTAATGTTGGCAATAATTATCTTTAAAAGTGTGATTTAAAGACTGACGGTTACCAGGGGGAAGGGAGGTCGGGGGACTGGGTGAAAGAATTAGGTACAAACTGGTAGTCACAGAACAGTCCCAGGGATGTCAATGGAATATAATCAGTAATACTGTAATAACTATATATGGTGTCAGGTGAGTATTGAAAATATTGGGGGGATCACTTTGTAAAGTATGTTTGTCTAACCACTACGCTGTACACCTGAAACTAATACAAAATAATACTGGGGATAAAGGGTAACTGAAAAATAAAATTTATTTAAAAGTGTGGTTTAATACCAATTGTTGGATAACTCTCTCCACCAAGGTAGTAAAACTGGTGTCTTGACTTTCCCGATTGTCATACATGTACTTAACCAGCTTGGCAATTGTCTCTGTGTCTGTTTCAGACTCAAAGTCATAGCCCTTGCTTTCCTGTAATTAGAAAGAAGAAAATGATGCATTTAAGGAAATACTCATCATATCTAAATCTTTTCTACAGAGTTTTTGCCCCAAAAATCTCACTAACCAACTTCTAATATTTTTTTGACCACCATACCCACTACCCACTGTTGAAAATTAAGGTCACCATCTAATTATAGTGAATCCAAAATAGTGAGGTATTCTGTGTAACTGAATACACACTTATAATTACATAAATCTATATATGCCATATATGAATTAAACAACTTTTAAATGATTAAAATATAATGAAATATTTAGTATAAAACACTAATTCCATAATGAATATAGAGTCGCACCTCAGTACTCGTTGGCTTCAGAACTTGTGAAAGCCTGTACTCATCGCATTTTGATGAGAAAACGTGTTTCAGCACTCAGTGCCTGCTCGGAACTCGAGGCACTTGCTAGAGCTTGTATGAATCACACCACCCAGCAAGGGAAAATGCTTCATCAGCACTTGTCATGAGTTCCAGAATGAATTAATGAGTACTGAAGTACCACTGTAATTCTTTATTTAACAATGATATTTTATTTTTTTAATGTTATTTAATTCTTTTTTTTAAATTTTTTAATTGATTATGCTGTTACAGTTGTTCTATTCCCCCTTTCATTCCTCTCCACCCTACCCCCCCATCCCCACCATTACCCCCCCTTTAGTTTATGACCATGTGTCTCAATTCCTTTAGATTCTATATTTCCCATGTTATTCTTGCTCCCCCCCATCTATTTTCTATCTACTGTCTATGCTACTTACTTTCTGTACCTTCTCCCCCCTTCTCCTCCTCCCACTCCCCTGTTGCTAAACAATGATATTTTATTATCCAATACAGAAGTCATTAGATATATCCAGCTATTTAAATTTAAATTTATTAAAGTGAAATAATTTCCAATTTAGTTGCTCAGTCACACTAGCTCAAGAGCCACATGTGGACAGTGGCTGCTATACTGTGCAGCACAGAGACGGAAGGTTACCATCACTACAGAAAGTTCACTGGGACAGACCTGAGAAAGCACCATGAAGGTCATCATCATGATCACTACTATATAGTGCATAGCAATAGAGAGCACAGAACCTTTATTTAATCTGTCCTGAGTCTTCTCACATATCCTAGAATCTTTTAAAAATTACAAACAAGGTCACTCACAATGCAAAAGACACCCTCAAAATTCCAATTTTCTTTGAGCTTCTGGCCATTCATAACAAAGCCAAATAATTATTTCCTTTTCACATAAGAAACAAAAATGTTCCACTGTCAATAAAGAAAAGTCCAATAAGCCATCATATCCTCGCAACTGTCTTACGAATTGCTTGATCACACCTACATAGTACTTATTGTACATCTCAACAAACATCACTGCTGTCACTAGGAGTAATGTCAAAGACTGGTGTCTTCTTAGGTCACTTTACTCACCAAAAATTTTTTCAAGTCTTTGTAGTTGGTGATGATTCCATTGTGAATAACAATAAATTCTAAAAGAGAGAAAGATATTAATAACCAAAAATTATAGGTCTAGTAAACATTATAAAGAGCCATTACTGTTAACAGTTTTTTTTCAAGCCAAAAAAATGTGTCACATGCTGTACTTCAAGGTGTGATCAAGTATTTTCTGCTTTTCATTACCAGATTATCCTCAGGTTGATCAGCAGCACAGTTTATGTGGCTTAGTGGAAGCACGCAATGTGAAGAAACACAATAAACTGGAGTCTGGAGTCATCAATTTCAGTTGTGGCTAAACTACTAACCCCCAATGTCACCATGTGAAAGAAGCAAGTTCTTGGAGCTTACATCCTCTTTTGCAAATAGACAGGGCTGAACTAAGTAACTATTATTCTCAGTTCTTTGTTAATTCATTCTTATGCATAAAACATTCCTAAATTTAAAGAGAAGCCTTTCAAACTAATATAATTATTTGATTTACAATAAATGAGTTTAAGAACTAAAGTTAAATAAGCTAAAAAGAAAACCAGACATTATTCAGTTCTATAATTAAATTTATTTTTCTAAGGTCCAGATAAGTCCTGGAATGCTAAATGTTAAAACCAAATTCCAAGATCAAATACATATGAAAGTATGATATTTTCATCTTTTTTAATTAAATAACTTGGAAAAATGTAAGAATGGATAATCAAGAGTAGACAGTATTATTTACAGCTACTGACAGTGTACTTAAAGATTACTGATAGGAATTTACTATTTAAAGTTTATGTAAGTTAGGAGAGAAATCACCACTAAATTCAATTTTATATTAAATTATAAAATGTTTTAAAAATAGTTAACAAGCTAACATTTTGACATAATGTTAAAATGACATAGATTAATGAGGTAAAGCAAAAAACCTTACAGCCTTGAATCTGAATCAGAAGTGTTAGTGTAAATGAGCCTGGATTGAATGCATTACAAACCAAATAATAAAATGAACATTTTCACTAGATTTTTAAGAAAGAATAGATGATACCCCACAGTACTAATACAAAAAAAGAACTAAAAAAAAATTTTTTAATGCTAGAACACAGACAATCTTAAACAGCTGATAGCTGACATAAAGACTTAATTAAAGCCAAATTTACAAAATATAATCTAGATATGTTTTTAGGACTCTTTTATAAATACCTTGTCATAATTAAGCATTAATCCCATTCCATATTTCTCAATTAAACTATAAAATCTTATCCCAAAAGGGATATATATACATACACATATACTTTTGTATATATTTGCTTATTTTTAGAAACAACAAACTCAAAAAAAAAGAAATTGCTACATGGTTATCTCCAGAGATAGAATAAGAAAAATAAGACAGAAACTATATTTATTTTAACATGCCTTTTTTACAGGTGTGACCTCAAATATGCAAATACTTTTTTTAAATAAAACTAATTTTTAAAGAAAATCAACCCCCAAAATTCAAGATAAAATAAAACATATTAACAAAATGCTTATCAGTTAGTAGCACAACCACATACAGAAGGATTATTCTGAGTGATTCTGAAACACAGTAATTTGATTATACATCCCTGAACAGATACAACCTAAGGACAAAAACATTCACAAGCAACGGTAAACATATTCATATGTTTGTGTGGGTATTATGATTCTGTTTAATGTATATCATGTAACAGATAAATAAGTATGTTACTAGTGTGAGGAACTAAGTTTCAGGTTTCATTGAAAGAAAATACATAGATTAATGAGGTAAAGCAAAAAACCTTACAGCCTTGAATCTGAATCAGAAGTGTTAGTGTAAAATTATGTTGTGTTTTACTTTAAATTTATACAAATGCAAGTGCACTCACAGAGCCAGCTCTGCCCTCTGAAAAGGCCTAAGTGTGATAAAACACTTCTAGGACTTGACTTATAGTCTTTAAGTATCATTTCCACTAAAAGGAACTAGGGCCCCTTAGGGAAATGGCTGATTCCAGCCTGGGGCAGGTGTAGCAGAATGTGGAGCATCTTGGCCTACCAGGAAATAACAAAGACTACTGAGCCCACTGGGTCACATCAAAAGGACTCGGAAGCCAATCTGAATAAGCTGCAAATGGCCAAAATTTTTTGTTTATCAATATAAACAATTATAAACAATTACTTCAGTGTTTTGAAACAAATGAAATATTTTTAAGCCATGAGTTTATAATTTTAAAAGGATCTCATTGCTCATTTTAGAATTTGTGAACCAGTTTATTTTGAAAAATAGTAAATGAAAGGGAAAAAATCAAGCATTAATCCTGCCTTTCCTATATACTCTGTACCTCAGAGTAACCAAGCAGTTGATAATAAAGAAGTTTCTCTCTATAAAAGTATTTGGGATAATAAATGAAGAAGGAATAAAAGTATTGTATTAGACCATCACCAATTTAAAATCCCTAAAGAAATAATTAATCTTGGCAATGATCATCAATGACTACTAACAACACAAAGAAAAACATCCAAGATTATGACAAGAAAAAAGTTCTGAGATGTCCTAAATTAAATTACAGCAGGCCAGAGGGGAGTTGCTTTGTTAAGAGAGACAGGGGCAGAAGCCAAAGAAGGACTGTTCATTACTTTGAACTGACTTCTAGGCCACTGTTTCTGCTCTTATCTAAAAAGAACAGCCCATTAACTACCACACGCCACCACGAACTTCCCAGGCTGTTGTCCAGAACCAATCCAAAAGCAACAAACACTTCTCCCTTACTATCACACCTATCCCAGAACTAGCCCCACTTCACCTATCCCTACCCCTGGGCCTTTATCTATAGCCAATGTAAATTCTTTCAAAACAACTTACAGCTTCCTTTTCCAAACTCAATATATAAAAGAGCCAGTCAATCCAAGGGTGGCAAACATGTTTGTCTTCCCAACTAGCCTTGCTGCTGGTGGTTTAAACTGTATGTCCCAAAACCTGATCCTTTTACTGCCAGTATATCACTCAATAAACCCTTTATTTCAGAAAAGCTTTCAAGCTCACCCTGGTTAGCATGGCTCAGTTGGTTGGCAAGCCTCTTGCAAAGCGAAAGGTTGCCGGTTCAGCTCCCAGTCTGGACACATGTCTAGGTTGCGGGCCTGGTCCCCAGTTGGGATATGTGCAAGAGGCAACTGACTGACATTTCTCTCACACACAAATGTTTCTCTCCCTTTCTTTCTCCCTCCCTACCCTTCTCTCTAAAAAACCAGTAAGTAAAATCTTTTTAAAAAAATGAGACTCCTAATTTCCCCACACTCCCCCCCAAGTTTCTAACTTTAAAAAAAGGAAAACTTACAACCTCAAAGGTTATTATTTAACAATTAAATACACATACACCCCCAATTGTAAACAAACACTATACCAATTTGTGATAAATAGAACAGACAGAGAAGCACGTTAAATGATCCATGGGATGCACGCAATCAACATGATCTAGACTGTTAACACCTCTATATGGCAAACGGCAGAGGAAACTACAAGGAAAGAGGAGAAGTCTCTTAAGTGACACATCAACATACTAAGTCCTTACCTTTTAGAGATACAACACTTAAATATTAAGAAATTAAGTGCTACAATAGCTAGCTATCTGTGACATATCTATCTATATGATATCTATTAACTTCCAAAATAATCTGGGTGAGAGGTATAGATAAACATAACTGATCATGTTTGATAAATGTTGAGTCTGGGTGATGAATACATCAGGTTCTGTACACTCTATATATATGAATATGTGAGAAATTTTCCAGAATAATGAAAAATAAGAGCTTCCATTCTTTCCCATTATTGGCCCTCTGCAATCATTCCAAAGCACGTACAACTTCCGTACCATTGTTTTTATCGGAGCGCTGGGGGTGGCTATTGACAGGACTGGGTTCACCATGTGTTGCCCAGCGGGTATGAGCTATTCCAAGGTGTACATCAAATTCAATATCCAAGTCCATATCCTGTTGTTCTGGAGATAAAATGAAAAATTCCAATATTAAATTACACTGTAGAGATAATGCTAGATTTAAATATAATTATTACAGTGCTGCTCAACTGGAATATACCATTATTAAAACTAAAGATCAGGCATACTCAAAATAGTAATTAAAAGATTTAGAGGAGTTAAAGCAGAATGCAGCTGAAATACTTAGGGCAAGTGGTTTCAATAACAACCAAAACAATGCATGCGAAGAGATAAAACAGCCGGCCAAGATGGAGGCGTAGGTGGAAACACTGCCTCCTCGCACAACCAAGTTGAAAGACAACAAAATTTTAGTAACAAAAACGCAACCAAAACACAGAAAATTGAACTGTACAGAAGTCTGACAACAACAAACCATTCTTCCAGACAGGTAAGAGGGGCAGAGTCAGTGGCTGGTGGAGCAGGGTGGGGCAGAAAAAAGTTGCCAGACCAAACCAGGCATGCAGGTGGCAGCTGGCAGATCCCAGGCATGGGGTGGCAATGGGCAGACCCAGTGAGGGCACAAGGCAGCTGGCTGACCATGGTCACACATTCACACTCAGATAAACCAGGCAAAAATACGAGCAGTGAGACAGACCATGCAAACCAGGGCCCCAGCAATGGGAATTAAAGCCTAAAAGCACCAATTGGAAAAACTTTTGGGGTCAAGGTGCTGGGAGAAGCTCCCAGGCTCACAGAAAGTTTGTTGGAGAGACCCACAGGGTCCAGGAAGGTGTACAGGCCCACACACCGGGGAGCCAGCACCAGAAGGGCCCAATTTGCTTGCAGGAAGCAACAGAGGGGACCAAAATCTAAGAGAGAACGTGGAACAAGTGCCATTGCCTCTCTCTGATCCTGCCCCCACATACAGCGTCACAACCCAGCGGCCTGGGTCACCCCGCCCTGGTGAACACATAAGGCTCTGCCCCTCATAACTAACAGGCACGAACAGACCAAAACATTATGGCTCAAGAAGAACAGCTCAAAGCCCCAGAGCCAATACTTCTAAGCAACCAAGAGACAGCCAACCTATCAGATGCATAATTCAAAACACTGATGATCAGGATGCTCACAGAACTGGTTGATTTTAGACACAAATGAGAGGAACAAATGAAGGCTAAACTAAGTGAAATGAAGGGAAATGCACAGGAAACAAATAGTAATGGAAAGGAAATTGGGACTCAAATCAAGGCAGTGGGCCAGAAGGAAGAAAAAAGAAATGACCAAACAGAAAAGAATGAAGAAACAAGAATTCAAAAAAATAAGGAGAGGCTTAGGAGCCTCCAGGACATCTTTAAACGTTCCAACATTCGAATTACAGGGGTACCAGAAGGGGAATAGGAACAGCAACAAGTGGAAAACTTATTCAAACAAATAATAAAGGAGAACTTCCCCAATCTGGTAAAGGAAATAATAGACTTCCAGGAAGTCCAGGAAGCTCAGAGAGTCCCAAAGAAGTTGGACCCAAGAACGAACACACCAAGGCACATCGTCATTACATTAGCCAAGATTAAAATAAAGGAGAGAATTCTAGAAGCAGCAAGAGATAAGGGGACAGTCACCTACAAAGGACTTCCCATCAGACTGACAGCAGATTTCTCAAAAGAGACCTTACAGGCAAGAAGGGGCTGGAAAGAAGTATTCCAACTCATGAACTCCAAAGACCTACATCCAAGATTGCTCTATCCAGCAAAACTTTCATTTAGAAAAGAAGAACAGATAAAGTACTTCTCAGATAAGATCAAATTCAAGGAGTTCATCATCACCAAGCCCTTATTATATGAAATATTAAAGGGACTTACCTAAGAAAAGAAGATAAAACATATGAACAGTGAAAGGACAGCAAACTCAGTTATCAAGAACCACACCTAAAACAAAAGCAAACTAAGAGGACAGCTAGATCAGGAGCAGAACCATAGAAATGGAGATCACATGGAGGGTTAGCAACAGGGGAGTGGGAGGAGATGAAGGGGGGAGAAGGGGGGAGAAGGTACAGAGAATAAGTAGCATAGACAGTAGGTAGAATATAGACAGGGGGGAGGGCAAGAATAGTATGGGAAATATAGAATCTAAAGAACTTGTGACACATGGACATAAACTAAAGGGGAGAAATGGTGGGGAAGGGGGTGTGCAGGGTGGAGGGAAATGAAGGGGGGAAATGGGACAACTATAATGGCATAATCAGTAAAATACAAAAAAAGATAAAACAAATGTGACAAAAATTAACTATTGGTAAAGCTAGATGAAATATATGGATACTTAATGTAGTATTCCTTCAAGTGTTCTGGAGGCTTTAAAATTTTCAGTTAAGAATTAAGTACGAAAAGAGTTAATGTGATTTTTAAAATCTATATTTAGTCCTTGCATTGATAAAAATCAGTATTGTTTCAACTAGACACGTATAAAATAAATTCATTTTCTCAATTCACACAACCTTATGACCATCATTTCTTTGGTTCCCCAAACTTAGTCACAATATAAACTGCAACTGTGAAGAGCTTCCACAATCACAGAATAGGTCCTTGTGGATAGAAAAACACTATTAAAATAGAGGGTTATAAACCAATGCCACTTCATCTTGAAATCAGCTACTCTAATTCCTTTTACCTATGAGCTATCTCTTCTTCTTCCAGGAAAAAAAATGGACAGTTCTAGTTATTTACTAGTAATGCCCCCCTTCTAATTTCCTAAATACAGAATTTATTTAGCAAAGATAAAACTTACCAGATAACAAAACTTATCAGAATTAGGTCTAAAATAAGAACAAACTGCTCAGAAGTCTGAATAGGAAAGTTTGTGCACTTCAGCACAGTCTTCGTGGTTTTTATGCTGCCGTATCATAAGTCATTCCAAAATACAAATCTGATCAAGAAATAAAGCTTAAAATCCTCAAACAGACTCCCATTGTTTTAAAAAGTGGTTTGCGCCCTGCCTGGTGTAACTCAGTGGACTGGGCATCATTCTGCAAACCAGAAGGTCACTTGTTCGATTCTCAGTCAGGGAAAATGCCAGGGCTGCAGGCCAGGTTCCTGGTTGGGGATATGCAAGAAGCGACCAACTGATGTTTCTCCAGGTTCCGGGTTGGGGGTGTGCAAGAGGCAACCAATCAATATTTCTGTCACACGTTGATGTTTCTCTCCCTTTTTTTCTACCCCTCTTTCCTTCTCTCTAAAAATAAGTAAAATCAGCCCTGGCTGGTGTAGCTCAGTGGATTGAGCACGGGCCTGCGAACCAGACAATCGAGGTTCGATTCCCAGTCAGGGTACATGCCTGGGTTGCAGGCCGGTTCCCTGCAGGCCACTTCCCAGCAGGGGATGCACAAAAGGCAACCATACATTGATGTTTCTCTCCCTCTCTCCTTCCCTTCCCCTCTGAAGATAAATAAATAAAATTAAAAAAAATAATAATAAAAAAATAAAAATAAAAATAAGTAAAATCTTTGAAAAAAATAAAAAGTGGTTTGAACATATGAGGGGGACCCAAAGAAAACTGGAATTACCTTCTGGAGGGCAGACCCCTTATAGTACAGGCTTCCCGTGCTAGGTGGGTGTTCCAGGAACACATCTGTATCAGTGTACCAGCTGGTGATGCTGTGAGAGGCTGTGTTCAGCTTCAGTGAATTGTTTTGAAGACTTTCAATATGTTTGCCCATTTCGTGATAATGCACCTGCCCACACCACTCTGCGTATTCAGCAGTTTTTGACCAAATACAGCATGACTCCTGTGCCCCACCCTCCCTATTCACCCGACCTTACCCTGAGTGACTTTCTTCTTGTTTCCCCGGATGAAAAAAAGTCCTCAAAGGGAAATGTTTTGCTGATGTGGAAGAGACAAAACATAAAATGGCAGAAGCACTAAAAGGCATCAAAATCAAGGAGTTCGGCCCCAGCTGGTTTAGTTCAGTGGATTGAGCACTAACTGCAAACCACAGGGTCGCTGGTTCAATTCCTGGTCAGGGCACACGCCTAAGTTGCAGGCCAGGTTCCCAAACACTGCATTGATGTTTCTGTAACTCTCTTTCTCCTTCCCTTCCCCTGTCTCTAAAAATAAATAAATAAAATCTTTTTTAAAAATCAAGGAGTTCAAAAACTGTTTTTGAGCAGTGGAAAAAAACACCTTGACAGGTGTATTGCATCAGAGAGAACTTTGAAGGTGACTGAAATTTAAACTTGTAACAATATAAAATTTTTAATAAATAAATTCCAGGGTTTTAGGGGTGTCCCTCAAATGAATCATCCTAAACCTAGTCAGAGGTGCCTGCAAATAAGATCCTCAAATTTGAACATACAACCAGTTTCTCAAGATAGAGGCCCAGTGCCTTTCATGGCACATCTCTCCCTCATCTATCTTTCCATCCTCATTGCCTTCCCCTCTCCAGTTACTCCTCAAAACTCTCAACACACTGCCCTGACCTGCGAGACTCAGTTGTTTGAGCATCATCCCAAAAAGCAAAGGGTTGCCTGTTCAATTCCTGGTCAGGACATATGCTTGGGTTGCAGGCTGGTCGCCAGTTGGGGCATGTACAAGAGGTAACCAACTGATGTTTCTCTCTCCTTCTCTTTCCCAGTCCCTTCCCCTCTCTCTAAAAATAAATAAAATCTTTTAAAAGCTCTCAACACACCTTTTACAAATACCAGATAACACTTACTGAGTACTTTGTGCTGGGTTCTCAAGGCTTTTCACCACTCTATCCTTATAACTGTGGTCCAAGCTACCACCACCTTTCACCTGAACTAATTCAACAGAATTCTAACTGGTTTCCCTGTATCCAATCTTCCATCTGTACAATCTGTAACAGTTTTGCACACAAACCAAAGTGATCCTTTCAAAACAAAAGTTAGAGCATGTCACTCTCACAAAACTGTCTAATGGCTTCGCATGACACACAAAGTAAAATCCATCGTCCTTAAGACCCTGCATGACCTAGCCCTCAGCCACCTCTCTAGCTTCATCTCCTGCCACTCTCCCCCGCCCTTACCATGTCCCAGCCCTACTGACTTGCATCCATGTGACAGCCCAGTCCACACAGGTTCTTTGCACTTGGTGTTCCCTCTGCCTAGAATTCTCTCTTTCAGACAACCACCTGGTATCTGCTCAAGTATCACCTCTATTATACTTTGTCTTCATACACTAATCACTACCTAACATTATACATTTGTTTGTTGTCTGGCTATCTCATTAAACAGTAAATTCCATCACAGCAGTGAGTTTTGCCTATCTTGTTGTGTTTTGTTCTCAGTGCCTAGAAAGATGGCTGATACATAATAGGCACTCAATAAATATTCATTTTGTCATTGAATCTTCACAATACTCTGTGAGGAGTACTATTGTTTCCATTGTACAGATAAAGAAACCAAGGCTCAAAGAAATCACAGAATCTGCCTGCCATAGTTCATAATGAGTAGTAAATAGAGACAAAATTTCGACCCAAATCTATTTGACTCCGGAGCCTAAGATTAAAACCACCATGGTAAACTCTGCTGCACTATTACATTTATGACATATTGTCAAGCTGGCTTCCATCAGAATTTGAGTTCTACAAAAGCAGCAGCTTGTGTTATTGTCTTTGAACCCTAAGCACTAAGAGCTAAATAGGGCAGATACTCAAATCTTTATTGGATGGCTCCATCAATAAATAGATTCAATCATCAATGTATTCTGATGGCTTACCTGTGTTCTGAATAACTAAGATAGCCTAATAAATGACCTTCAGAAAAGTAAAGAATACTGTTCATCACTAGTTAACAAACTAATGCAAGCAATAAAAGCATCTGACTAGTTTTTTAGACTAACTACAATTAAAGCAATATCTCCCTCCACATGATGGCTAGAGCAACACTGGAGAAAGAGTCTTTAACAAAAGTCCGTAAGTTGAAACCATGTCAAGTTCATGGTAATTACCAAACCTATTTATTTCACTGTTGTCATTTGGGAACATGTGCCCATGTTCCTTATTCATTAAGCTGATAGATCATTCAATTCTCCAACAGGTCGAGACATCTTTTCTACTCTCGAGCCTCAATTCTACCTATAGGCCCTCAATTTCCACTTTGCTCAGCTTTTTCCGCTCACCTCCTAACTGTCTGGCTTAGCTTTACTTTTATCTCTGACTCCTATGAAAGGCTAACTCGTGACCTGTGCCTCCACCTATTTGAGCTGTAATTCCTCAGTAATTTCCTTTTTTGCATCTTCTATCTTCCCACCACCTTCGTGCTCCACAAGTTTTGCCCTCCTCATACTTTTTCTCAGATGTCATTGTTCTCTTTTTCATTTTTAATAGTTTCAATGTTTACATTTCCTATCAATGATAAAAACTCGAATACCTACATCCAGGCATAACAAATGTCAACATACAGTCATTTGTGCACTACATCTTTTTTAAGGCATACAAAGGCAGCAGCCCCCTTTGCCTTTGCCCCCTCCATGACCTACTGCCAATACCACCTAAAGACAATACCTACTTCTCTGTCAATTTCCTTATCTGCAAAATGAAGATGAGAATTTTACCTCCTTCATGGGTTACAATGAGGAATAAATGAGTTAATAGACATGAAGCACTTACAAGAGTACCTGGGACACAGAAAGCAATCAACAAAAGTTAGCTATTATCAAAGTCAGAAGCTACCAACAACCTCTTACTTGACAAATCCAAAGACCTTTTCTGAGAAGTCATCCTTCCTTTTTGACTGGGAATAATAATATAAACATCACAAACATCCAAATAGCTACACCCAGAGTTACCCAAAGTTAACATCTATCCATTTGTGCTTTAGATCTTTGTTAAGATCTAAAATGTAAAAGATGTGCTTGATACCTCCTTTGTACCCTGCCCTCCCATTTCTCCCCAGAGGACTCAAGTTGACGCAGAACCTTCTCCACTGTGCCTTCAAACTTCTATTATGCTAATATATGTCCATAAATTATAGTATTCTTTATGGGTTTTTTTGAGGTAGCAAATATTTAATGACAGTAATATTGTAAACACTGAAATGATATCAGCTTTTTACCTTGTAGGACATTCATCTTTTTTGTCAATATATATTGTTTGTTTCTTTTAATGGTCCCATACCCCACATATCCTACTGAACATTAGGTTCGCAGTAATTCTCCAGGTCCCCACAACTTGTTATCTCCATTCCCTTCCTGGTAAACACAGAGGTTGTTTCTAAATTTTGCTGCAATGACTTCTTGTCATGGCTCCATGCCCATAGTATTTCTTTCAAGTATATGCCCAAGAGTGGAAGTGCTTGGTCACAGGGTATGGGCATCTTTGAAGAGACACTGCCAAACTGCTCTCCAAAGTGATTTATCAATTAAGAATTCACCAACAGTGTCTGCCATCCCCTACTTCTCCACTACTTCCTGACCCCTGCATGAAAGGAGGAGGTATGTCTCAATGCTGACATTCAAAGATGGTAACTCTGGCCACAGCCTGCCTTTCTGACCTCCCATGCACATCTACTGAAAATAGAGATAAAAAGGACTATCTAACCTGAAACCTATATAATTTTATTAACCAATATCACCCCAATAAATTTAATATTTTTTTAAATAGGACTATACCATTCCATCAACAAATTCATCTTCCCTATTTTTGTCCTATGAAAGGCCCTTTCTCACAAATTGTGGCTACTTCACTTTAGTATACTGATCTTGTTCTGAACACAGACGACCTAACTAATTTCCTTCCCTAATCAATACGATCATTTCTGAAGCTCAGGTACATTTTAAAACCAGGACAGCCAATAACAAAACTACTTTTCTTCCCTACCTTCAACTTTAAGAATCACTAAATGGGGCCCAAATATGGGAAGAAAGATAATTTGATAAAGAAGGGAAAAGGACGAGAAGGAGCAGGGGGACAAAATCAAACTAAGTACATTACTGTGAACTTCTTCATCCAGTGCTTTCACTTTCCCTTTCTTCTTAATGAGCTGGATCTTGCAGGCATTGGCTTCCCAATCTTTGTCATTCCCTCCATCCACTCCCACACCTGAATCATCAAAAGGTAGAAGAGAAATATTAAAAAATGGCTACTACTTATTGTGTAAGGAAAAACTTTAAAATATTTTTCATCTAATTAATTCATTTACTTATCAATTCAACATATACTGAACACCTATTATATGTCAAGAACCAGGATAGCTGCTACAAACAAAAATGAAAATAACCCAGTTCCTGTTCACAAATTTCTAATAGTGTATTGAGAAGACAAAAACATAATTACATACAGTGTGGTTTCAGGTTATAATAAAAGTATTACAGGTTGTAACTAGAGTACAGGAAAGAAACAGAAGATGGACACCCACCAAATTATTGGGATAAAGAAGGCACGTCAGGGAATTCTCTCTTGAGATTCTACTTGAGATCCTAAGGAATCTGAAAGTTATTCTGAAGGTACTGGAAGGCAGAGTAGTTTCAAGTAGAGAAATCACATGGCAAAAACATTTAGAGAAATTTCTGGAAACAGTATAAGAAGATAGACTGGAGCAACAGAAAGAAGAAACCAGCTCAGCGTTAACAAAGCACAAAAACAGGGCCTGAATTAAATGGTGGGCATGAAGACAGATATGGGTGATACTGAGTAGAAAAGACTGAATGTAACATGAGGAAGCGGGAGAAGTCTGGGATACCTCCTAGGCTCAACCAAAGAAACTTGGTAACCAAAGGCACACAGAAAGAACTGATTGGAGAGTGGGGTAAGAAAAGGAGCCCCCACAGAAGAAAGAAAATAATCAGCATGTAAGGAAGATAATGAGATGTGCTGTCAGAGAAGCTAAGGAAGAAAGGAAGAATTCTAAGAACAAAGTAGTTGCAAAATTGACTTTCCATTAACTGAGGAACATCATGGAAGATAAATGACCATTTCAGCTGGCAACGTAAATGTACAGAAGAGTTAACAGAGTGGGCCTGCACTGTATCCTTCAAAATGCTTGCTCTTGAAGTTAGACCTTGGATTTCAGGAGGGTTCCCACCACCCTAAACTAATGAAAAATAGCTCACTGCACCTAAACCACTGTTACAACTATTTGCCTTATGCTGAACATTTGCTTTTCTTCTGGAAGTCTACAGTTTTGGTACATTTTAGACAGAGGGTGTCTACGTGACCAGCCCCCAGTGAAAGTCTTGGGCACTCACTTGCTAGTGAGCTTCCTTGGTAGACAACATTTCACACATGTTGTCAGAATTTGCTGGGGAAGGTAAAAGCATCTATTGAAACTCCACAGGGAGAGAACCCTTAGAAGCTTCTGCTTTCCCCCAGACTTCACCCCATGTGCCTTTTCTCTTTGCTGATTTTGCTCTGTATTCTTTTGTTGTGATAAATCAGAGCCATGAGTATAACTATATGCTGAATCCCTTCTGGAAATAATCAAATCTGAGGGTGGTCTTAGGGACCCCCAATACAGCTAAGAAAAGGAGCTAGAGTAAAACATAAAGTTGACAAAAAGACATTTTTATTTGCTTTGTAATTTATGTAAGGTAGAAGACTCTTAAGTTTATATACTAAAAGCCTGGAATATCTGGAGAAAATTCAATTTATAGTAAAGAAAAAAGATAATTTATAGAATAAAGCCTTCAACCATGGAAATGCTCCAGATGATTTATATGTTTATACAATAACATTCTTAACAAAAGAAGATGCCCGTCAGAAGCAATACTCTACATAAACAATAACGCTGTTGAAATTACATAAACAGACCCTTTAAACATTCTATAAGACAAAAATTCTTGAGATTTTAGATTTGCTCAAAACAAAACAAATGTTACTAAAGAATCTAGTCACCTAATACAAAAACTAATCTATTTTGATTCAAAAATCATGCAAACCCATAATATTTTTTAAAAGGAAATACCAGCAGAATCATATCCTCTGTACTCCAATCTCTGCAGGCCTTTGATTAGGGTCTCCAAGATTTCTCTTCTTGTTCGAGGGACATGGTAGTTTAAGTAAGCAAATATACCTGTAAACAAGCAAATATTTAATAGAAAATCCTATCTAAAGAAAAACTAACATAATTATGATAAAATCTTCATTTGCATAATTATGTGTAAAATGTACAAAAATGTGAGCATAGAGTCAATCATTAAAAGAGAAATAAATCCTCACTTCAAACTGTCTGAAGGCAGTGAAATTTTTTCAATAGGGGATTTCTCATCTATTAAAGAGGTAAAGCAAACATGTTAAAATAAATGTTTATTTTTTTCAAAGCAGCTTATAAGCTGGTCACTCATTGTCCATCACAGCCATTTTGTAAAGTGATATTTAATTTTTAAAAACTAACCAATCAGCCCTGGCTGGTGTAGCTCAGTGGATTGAGCACGGGCCTGTGAATCAGACGATCATGATTTGATTCCCAGTCAGGGCACATGCCTGGGTTGCAGGCCCATTCCCAGCGGGGGAACCACAGAGGCAACCATACATTGGTTTCTCTCCCCCTCTCCTTCCCTTCTCCACTAAAGGTAAATTAAAAAAAACAAAAACTAACCAATCAACAAATTTGTGGTTTATGTTATAAATACTTAGCACTATATTTAAGAAGAAAAGCTTTTCCTGAAATAAGTATTTTAAGCTACATATGGGCCTTACAAAACTATACAGATGAAATATTTTTTCTTCTTCCTATGACCATGTTATCAATAACATTTAAGAATAAATAACTTATAAATAATAATAATGTGAAAAATACTACCTAAATAATCTAATAAAGGGGGATATACTAAAATATATATGTAATTCATTTAAAAGAAAATGGCTTGAATCACTTGTTCACCAGTTATCGTATAGCTAACAACAAATGACTGCAATACGTGTTTACAATGCTTGAAAATTCATAGAAAAACAGTAATTTTGAAAAGCAAAACTAGAAATAAAACAATTAGTACATGTCAACTGATCTAGGCAAGCAAAGAGGTAGTAAATAGAACACAGGTAATAATATTCGCATTTTAGGAACAGCAGGATGAATATTATCTGAAGCCTTCCATTATTATGCTTTGGGCAAGGTGGAGACAGCTGAAGACCAAAGTATGAGAACATATAAATTCAAGTTGCTTATTTGTGAAAGAATTTCCATTTTTTTCTTTTATACTATACCGCCAATGAATCACAGGGGATTAAATGAATTCTGTGGAGTAGAACTCCACAGAATTACTAGTCTTTATTTCTATTTGAAAAGATCTCTTTATTTCTATAGAAATTAATAGCTTGGTCCTATTGAAGCATTTCAGCATACAAAAATACCGAATTGTTACTATCCTACAAAGCAGCCATAATACATATATGCTGAGCACCATGATCAGTACAGCACAATTTTTTTCATAAAAACTATCATGACCTTAGACAAAAAAGAAAATCCATGTTTTATTTTTTAATATATTTTATTGATTATGCCATTACAGTTGTTCTATTCCCCCCTTCATTCCCCTCCACCCTATACATCCCCTCCCCCACCATTCCCCCTTTCACTTATGACCACGTGTATCAAGTTCTTTAGATTCTATATTTCCCATACTATTCTTGCCCCCCCAATCCATTTTCTACCTACTGTCTATGCTACTTATTTTCTGTACCTTCTCCCCACTTCTCCTCCTCCTACTCCCCTGTTGCTAACCCTCCATGTGATCTTCATTTCTATGGTTCTGCTCCTGATCTAGCTGTCTTCTTAGTTTGCTTTTGTTTTAGGTATGGTTCTTCTTAATAACTGTGAGTTTGCTGTCCTTTCACTGTTCATATGTTTTATCTTCTTTTTCTTAGATAAGTCCTTTTAATATTTCATATAATAAGGGCTTGGTGATGATGAACTCCTTGAATTTGATCTTATCTGAGAAGCACTTTATCTGTCCTTCCATTCTAAGTGAAAGCTTTGCTGGATAGAGCAATCTTGGTTGTAGGTCTTTGTCTTTCATGACTTGGAATACTTTCTTTCCAGCCCCTTCTTGCCTGTAAGGTCTCTTTTGAGAAATCCGCTGACAGTCTGATGGGAAGTCCTTTGTAGGTGACTGTCCCCTTATCTCTTGCTGCTTCTAGAATTCTCTTCTTCATTTGAATCTTGGCTAATATAATTATGATGTGCCTTGGTATGTTCCTCCTTGGGTCTAACTTCTTTGGGACTCTCTGAGCTTCCTGGATTTCCTGGAAGTCTGTTGCCTTTGCCAGATTGGGGAAATTCTCCTTTATTATTTGTTCAAATAAGTTTTCCATTTTGACGCTCTTCCTCTTCCCCTTCTGGTACCCCTATAATTCAGATGTTGGAATGTTTAAAGATGTCCTGAAGGTTCCTAAGCCTCTCCTCATTTTTTTGAATTCTTGTTTCTTCATTCTTTTCTATTTGGTCATTTTTTTCCTTCCTTCTAGTCTACTCCCTTGATTTGAGTCCCAGTTTCCTTTCCATTACTATTGGTTTCCTGTGCATTACCATTCATTTCAATTAGTTTAGCCTTCATAGGTTCCTCTAATTTGTGACTAAAATCAACCAGTTCTGTGAGGATCCTGATCACCAGTGTTTTGAACTGTGCATCTGAAAGTGTGGCTATTTCTTCATCGCTTAGATTTATCAGCTCTGGGGCTCTGAGTTGCTCTTGAGCCATGTTTTTATCTGTTTGTGCCTGTTACGTATGAGGAGCAGAGCCCTAGTTGTTTACCAGGGCGGGGCCACCTAGGTCACTGGTTTGTGACACTGTATGTGGGGGCAGGGTCAGAGAGGGAACAATGGCGGTCCTCTCCGCTGGCCCAGTCCTTCCCACCGCTCACCCCCGCCTATTTATCTGAGCAGAAATGTGTGAGCCCGCCACCCTGCGCCGTGCAGTCTCAATGCTCGCGTCTTCACTGGTTTATCTGCACGCAAATGCTCTGCAGACAGCCAGCCGCGCCTCTTCCCTGTGTCCGCCCATAGCTAGACCGCACCTGGGATCCACGTCTTCGGCTGCCTGTGCACCACCCCAGTCGGAGATCTTTTTGGCCAACCCGCTCCACTGCTGGCTTCGCCCCTCTTACCAGTTTAGCTGAGCATTTCATTGTTTTCGGACTCCATATTGTCGATTTTTTGGGTGGTTTGGTTGCGTTTATTATTGTTAAAACTTTGTTGTTTTTAGATTTGGTTGTGCGAGGACGCAAGGTGTTTCCACCTATGCCTCCATCTTGGCGGAAGTCAGGATACTCTTAAATTACAGTTCCCTTACTGCTTGTTTTTAAAGACTTATTTATTTATTTATTTATTTTTAGACAGAGAGGAAGGAAGGGAGAAAGAGAGGAAGAGAAACATCAATGTGTGGTTGCCTCTTGCACATCCCCTACTGGGGACCTGGCCTGCAACCCAGGCATGTGTCCTGATTGGAAATCAAACAGACAACCCTTTGGTTCACAGGCCAGCACTCAATCCACTGAGTCACCCAGCTGGGGCCCTTACTGCTTTTAAATATAACTTCATTCACAAAAATTGTATTTATATACACCATCATTTATTTTTTTAAAAATAGAAAAAACTGTTTAAAAATGTGGGTAGCTTGAGAATGTGACATTCTCACTAAGCCACAGGTAAACAACTAAAAAAGAACAAACTGTATTCTAAAAAGCCAAGAGTAAGAGGAAGATAAAATAAATTAGGTAAATAGACACTATTCTCTGGGAGATACACAACACTTATAAGCACGTTAAAGGTTCCAAGAAGTCCTTCCATTAAAAAAAAAGCCAGTTCAACATTATTTAATCTGTTGCCCCCCCCAAGTTTACTGGACCACGGAATATTTATTTTTCTGATTAATACTTACTAACATCCCACTTCAACCTGGTAAACATAACAGTTTTATCACTATATCATATTTTTAAAAAGCATATACAGGATCATTAGCCCTCATTCTTATGCTTCGACATGTTGCAATGTTAAAACAATATAATCTTCTAGAAAAATATGAATTGGCAGCAGGTATTCAGAATCTCTAAATTTTCCCATCTGCTCTCATTCCCCAATTTCTCTGCCTAGAAATTTTATTTCAATGATTAAGATGTGGGAGTAAAATAAAGACAAACTCTTGTTTTAACAGTTAGCCTTCATAGTTCACATTAAGAGGAAATAAATTCTGGATCTTATTCCAGATTATGCAAAACTGTGGTCTGGGTTGACTTAAAAGCAGGACTTCAAAAATGCTTCAAATACTAGTTCTTTATTGTTTATAACCTGCTTCCTCAGGTAACTGTGGAATGGGGATGTTGGCTAAGTGAAAACTCTCAACATCTAGCCTCCACCCTGAAAGTCTCACTCTACTCTGTATCTTTTCTAAACTAGATCAATTTTTTTAGATTACTTTGACTTCCTTTTTCCTGGATCATGATGAGGAAATGACCTGCAACCAGAAAACCAGGTACTTAACTAGGTGCACACCTCCTGATTCAGGAAAAGTTAATAACCAAATGAAGCACAATGAGTATTAACCAGTTTGCATAATCACTACTTCACAGCTCCAGGCTAAATTATGTGTACTTGCAAAACCACTCTACTAATTAGACACATTAAAAGTACCTATATCTGATGCTCAAGTCCGCTCGACCCTAATAATTCTGGAAAACAACTTACAGGTTTTCTAGTTTTGTTTTTTAAACTACTCTTAAATTTAAACATGTTCTTCTTTTTCAGAAGCTGAAAGTAACATAATGTTAAATACAGGAAAAATATACACTAACGAGAACACAGACACCTCCCGCTCAGTTCTTATTGCAAAAGGCTACAAAGAATAAGTTTCCCAAATAGTTTCAATTCATGGCTCAGTTGAGCATAGGCCCACAAAGTGAAAGGTGGCCAGTTTGATTCCAGGTCAGAGCATATGCCTGGGTTACAGGCTGGTCTCCAACTGGTACTCATGCAAGAGGCAATTTATTGTTGTTTCTCTCACACATTGATGTTTCTATCCCTCCCTTTCTCCCTCCCTTCCCCTCTCTAAAAATAAATAAATAAAATATAAAATTAAAGTAAAGTAAATTACAAGTGTTTTTCCCCCCTTCAGTGGTAAGGTCACTTGTAAATTTCAATAAGAAAGGTAAGGATACAATTCTTTATACTGACAATGGCCAAGTTAATACCAATTTCAGTGGCTATCAGTCATTTCAGATATAATTCTAACAATTTCTTTTAGCTAACATTTTTAGGTAATATTAAAACAACTAAGTCTCGAAACATGGAATAAAAGGGCCCAACGATGTTTTAACTGTTCCAAGCAAAACATTTGTGAAACGCAGACTAACACTGTTCATAAGTGTTTTAAATGGGTGCACATGCAAGTGATAAATGATGTATGATCTGTCGTCATGGTCACTTCTGGGCCTCTTCCACCAAGTTATTAATTAGTGATGGTTTCTGTTGAGACGGAGGTGGCAGGAAGTAAGATCATGTGTAATGCCACTGTCATACCTCTGGGTATAGTTCTGTTTTCTACTGGGCCTGACCGAAACACAGTAACTAAAAATAAATATTGTTTTAAAGGTAAATCCTAGAAGAATACAAGGTAAGTTCAAGAGACCTCACCTGATGTTCCGCAGGTTGCCTCATTCATCCGGTGGACTCTTGTGAAGACACCCCGTCCACACCTCTGTTCCCTCGGCCCTCTCTCCTATTCCAACACAAACATCTCTTCCTTCTGGGCTCCCTTCTCCGCACCCAGCCTTCTCCTCTGTTCCCCTAGATCCTCTCTAGGGCCCGCCCCCCTCTCGATACCCTCTTAAGTCCACCACACCCCTGCGCCCCAGCTCGCAGAGGGCCACTCCAGCCCCAGCACCGGGGGCTACCACGGGACGCCCCCGCCTGTTACTCTGACTTCTCATACTCCACACTCCCTGCTCCCGCCGGCGCCTCAGGCCTCAACAGGGCACCCCAGCACCGCCCCGCACACGCCCCCCACCCGTGGTCCTTACCACACATGATGCAGAAGGCTCGGTCCACAAGGCAAGTGATGAACGACTGCGCGGTCGGGCGCACACAAGAGCCTGTGGGGCTATTGGCGGGCTTGAGACAGAGCTGCAACGACAGACTCCCAAGGGAATGCGACTGCAGAGGTAAAAGGTTCCCTGGCCTCCCAGACTCGCCAGCAACTGCCTCCAGGGCCGCCCCCTTCAACGCGCACTGCGCAGCCGCTGCTGCCACCGTCCGCAGATTCCCATTGGGCCGTGGCCACACCACTCACGAACAGATCCCGCCTCCCTCCCAGGCGCTGCCCCGCTGGCAACGAGGACGTGGCAGCGGCACGCGGCAGCAGCCGCCACAGGTTCCTGGAGCCAGCCAGCCAGCAGCCTAGCCCCTGGCGAGTAGCAGCAGGCCTGGCGCCACGGGGAAGGAAGAAATTTGGTGGCTGGCAGGGAATGAGGATAAGATAAGGTGAGAGGAGGATGGAATTGTTAGCAAAGCAAATAACGGAACGCGTGCTTAGTGCAGTGCAAGGCCCCAATCTCCTGCACCCCACGAAGTGGAGAAAGAAGAGGGGAAAAGCTGGAGGCCTGTTGGACAAATAGGTCAGGGTGGGTAAGGGGCATAATTGGAAGAAAAAAATGCAAATAGTTGAGGGGAAAGAGATACCAAAATTCTTGACTGCAAAGCGCCATTCAGATTCTGACAGTCTTTCTGTTGGCAGCAATTCAGTTCCCGACTTAGGCTCCAGGTAATATGCCTGGCCTCCCCCATCCATTGCTTCCCCGACCCCCAGTTTTTGCAAAGGGGCAAGGGGAGACTTCTGCTGGCCCACATGAGAGGACTGTAGAATTATTGCCTAGATTTGACAGCCTTATGTTTGACTCATAATCAATTAATTAAGTCTGAATTAGTGCACCATTCCTGCTAAGAGAAACTTAGTTGATGTTTCTGAGAATTTATTACATGTGCATTTGCTTTAGGAACATTTAAACGGTGTCTTTAGTCAAATGTAGATGGTTATCCTAACTCTATTAGTGACCCTAGAACAGAATCAAATAAAAACTTGCATGCCATACAGAATGTGGCATGCACTTCAGACCCCAGATGTCTCATCTTACCTCATACTATTTCTGTCTTCCCACCCCACCTTCCAGCCCTTTCCACTCCATCACCACTGAACAGGTAGTTTCGCAGTTGGGCCAAAATTCTCAAGTCTTGCACACATTGGTTACTCTTCATGGAGTCCACACCCCATCTCTACTTAAGTCTTGCTTCCTGTTAGGGAAAAAACCTCTTCTATCTCCCCCAGAATGTAAGGACGTGCATTAATTAACCCTATAAAGAAAGCACTGTGCTTTGAATTGATTTTTTTTTTCATACTTCCCTACTGGGCTAGGTTTCTTGAGGCTAGAACAAATGTTTGCATACCCAACACCTAGTATAAACCCTAACACAAGGTAAGGGATCAAAAATGGCTTTTGAATGAGTGAAAAAGGAAGTCAAATGTTCTTAGCAGAATTGCCTTTCTCTGGCAGGTCGTATGGTCAAGTAAGCAAAAGGCTTTTCAATTTTTCTTAGGAAAAAAATAGCTTTTTAATTACTGGCCTAAAGGCCAGAAAATGTCACATCTGAACTAATCAAAGTATTTCTAGCATGAAAGCCTTATGATATTTCAGGCCCTTAAACAGGTTCCTAAATCACCCAGAGCAATGTTCAAAAGTAAGACAGTGAACTGTTTGAAAATAGGCAACACATCTCTTAATTTAAGAGGCAAAGGCTCTGGATATACATTTTAGCCTCAGAACCCTCATCTAAGAGGTTCTGTTGAGACCTCAGTAATATTAACAAGGAGTCATCATATGATTACAATGTTTGAACAATACCTTTGTACACTGTCAGAGAATGTGTCAACACGACTAAGAACATGCCAGCAGTACCACCAAAGTTACCATGCTCAAAGTATATAGTTCCTCTGAACGCAGAGGAACCCCCTGCTTTCCTCTTCTGCTTATTAGTTCATTATGACTGTCAATTTGTCTTGTCCATCTCCATTCTACAGATACTTTGTAAGGTGTTTATGCACCATTTGAGAGAAAAACTTTGAAAGCCAATAGTTTCCCAACTGTTTAATATAGCCAGATTCAAAGAAAGCCACAAGAATGAAAATCTACTGTAAGTGGAGGGCAGGGAAAGACCAAAGAGAAAGGTTGGACGCTCCAGTCTATTAATTAGTAGAGTTTATAAAGGGAAACTTAGGAGGCAGGTCTTGGGTGGCTGCATGACAAAAGAGATCCCTGAGCTGCTTGACAAACGCAAAAGAATTGTGTAGGGTAAATGTGGGAGTAGTCACGGATACTAGTACATGAATACTGGAGGTTACATGCTCGATCAGGTCAGGACAACATCCTGTTCCGGGAACCAGCACAATGCAGGAAGCAAGGGAGGAGTGCTGATTTATGTCAGAATGAACATCGATTAAGATAAGACAGTCTGAAAGGGCGAGCTGTGGAAAGCAACCTCTATTCTGGCCCAGGTCCAGCTTCTGGGACAGAGCAATCACATCATGAAACAGTGTCTCCTCCACACTCCACTCGTGGTGACTGGCTTTTATAATCTCACATGCCTACTCTTCCACAGGCTCCCCTGAGTGGTCAGTGAGGGGCTTCAACAGCAGGGAGGTAGCTTGCTTAGTTGCCAGTTGACTGCACTGGAGATACAGCAGCAAAGGTACAGACATACCAAAAAAAGAGCAAAGAAGCAGTCCAAGTATTAGTAACAATTTTTTCTATCATGCCGCCCCCCAGGACCAAAGCCATTGGTTTAGTGGGTCACTTGGGCTCAGGGCCAAAAACTTGAGTTTTCATACATGCTAACAAAGAAAAAATATTAGCAGATCCATCTAGTATAAAAACAAAACATTTAGTTTAGATAATGGCACAGGTGTCCCCTGCCCCACCCCCATACCTGAATGTCACAAAAACAGTAAAAGTCTAAGATCAGAAAGACAAGTATTTCGTAGGGACTGAATTGGGAGATCTTCTCTGAGAATTATATTTATAGCCTGATCTTTAGATGTTACTGTGGCTGCAGTCTATGGAACCTGGCCAAACCATAAACCATACATGCTGGCCAGGGGAAGTGGTGCTCCCTGGCCTAAAGAGGTAAATAGGGGACTAGGACCCCTACTTTCTCCCATCTTTCATGGTGAATGTACCAGTCCACAAATGATGTGTCTCCATGGGTCCTGGTTGCATTAGGATGACAGGGTCCAATCAGAGACTGAGCAGTTCTTCATCAATTATTAGTACACACAGGCCCAGGAAAAAGCCCCAAGACTGAAAATCTACCTCTGTGAGTGGAGGGCAGGGAAGGGCTGCAGAAAGAGGCTAGCTTCTCTAATCTGGTAATTAATGGAGTTTATTAAGGGAAACTTACATACAAGGAATGTCTTGGCTTACTGCAAGGTGAAACAGATCCCCAAGCTACTTAGTAGATGCCAAAGAATTAAAAAGGTAAAGGGGCAGGAGATATACTCAGCATGAATGCTGCCAGGCACTGGAAATTACTTTACATGCTAGACTAGGTAGGACAACAACCTGTTCCAGGAACCAGCACGTAGGAGGAAGCAAAGAAGAGGTGCTGATTTATGTCAGAGTAAACACCAGTTAAGGTCAGCCAGTCTGTAAGGGGGGGTGGGGTTTGCAGAAAGCAACCTCTGTTCTGGTCCAGCTCTAGCCCACAGGACAGGCAGAGGTCACATCATGGAACAGTCTTTCCTCACACCAGCCCAACCTTGAACAAACTCTCCAACCCACTGCAACAAAGAGCCCTTTGTAACCATGTGCCAGTCAGGACACTGAAATGGAAGAATTTTGTGTGTCTGACCCCCATCTATACAGAGCTTTGCCTCAACTGGACCTTTGCGAGTAAGGGCTGAGAAGAAGAAAATAAATTATCTGTAAAGGAATGAGGACATCTGGGTCTCATTCAAACATCTAAGGAAATGGAAAGGATTTTCTCCTGATTCAAAGTTCTGAAGTAGACTAAAAATAATAATAACAATGGTAAGGGGTGTCATTTATCATCTCTCTCTTTTTTAAGATGTTATTTATTTATTTTTTTAGATAGAGGGTAAGGGAGGGAGCAGGTAAGGGAGAAAAACATCAATGTGTGGTTGCCTCTCACGCATCCCCTACTGGGGACCTGGCCCGCAACCCAGGCATGTGCCCTGACTGGGAATCGAACCAGCAACCCTTTGGTTCACAGACCAGTGTTCAGTCCACTGAGCCATACCAGCCAGGGCTATCATCTCTTTATGCAACTCCATTTCCTAGATTAAGTCCCAAGTAATCTAATGGTTCTCAGCCTCCTCCTTGCCACACATTAGGATTTCCAGTTGTCATTTCTAAAGAAATGAAGAACCATAATTGAAATAGCTTTATAAGATTTTTAGATGTCCCCTTGTTTGTAATTTTTGTTATCCCTTATCTTAATCCCAGTATAAATAGCAATAAAAGTATTAAAATAAAAAAGGCCTGGGCACAAACTTCCAGTTATAAAATAAGTCCTGGATATATACTGTATAAGATAGTGACTATAGTTGTGTTGTATATTTAAAAATTGCTAAGAGTATAGGTCTTGAAAATTCTCATCACAAGAAAAAAAAATCTAAGGGGACTATGGTGGGCCAGGCTCCAGCCAAGATGGAGACGTAGGTAGAAACGCTTAGCTTCCTCACACACCCAAAAGAAACCAATTTGAAAACAATAAAACAAGTGCCAGAAAATTAAACTGCATGAAACTCCAACAACCAAGGAGTTAAAGAAACATTCATCCAGACTGGTAGGAGGGGAGAGACAGGCAGCCGAGTGGAGAGGACACGCAGCAAGGCCGCAGATGGTGCAGGAGAGACAGGGCTGGCTGTTGGAGAAACTGAAGACTCAGAACCTCTAGCTGTAAAATACTGTGGGGGCTGTGACAGCAGGAGAAACTCCTAGTCTCATAGGAGAGTTCCTTGCCAAGTGGGGCTAGAGCCCAGTGAGGGTGTGGCATCGTTCCCTCTCAAATCCCTCCCCCACAAACAGTGCCACAACATGACAAAGAGTTGCTCCACCCAGGCAAATACCTGAGGCTCTGCCTTCTAACAATATAACAGGTACACCGAGGCAAAAAAAAAAAATATATATATATATATATATATATATA